AACATGTCAACATGATCTGGTGATATGAGCTAATCTCTTCTAATAGGCGGTCCTGCCTGTCCATCAACTATTCCACTTGTGCAGCAAAGGCTGCCCAACGAAGGAAAGGCTGTAAAAGAACAGCCACTCCTAATCAAATATGCTTGATTAGGGCTCCTAATTGGTGCAATTGTCTAAGCATTGACGAGGCCTGATCTCTAGAGATGTCACACACTGCAAACTGTTCTGTGCTTGCCAAGATTTAAAATCTTCAGTTTAATTCAATTTAAGCCTGGAAAAAGATGGCATGTCCACTCCAGGTAGGGGGAAAGGTCCTGCCCCAGGTGGAGGAGTTTAAGTATTTCGGGGTCTTGTTCACAAGTGATGGAAAGAGGGATCGTCAGATTGGCAGCAGGCTGGGACAGTATCAGACTGTAGTGGTGAAGAGGAGCTGAGCCATAAGGCAAAGCTCTCTGTTTACTGGTCTTCTATATTCCAACCCACACCTGTGGTCATGAGCTGTGTATAATGACCGAAAGAATGAGATCGTGGATACAAGTGTGGGAAATGAGCTTTCTTCACAGGGTAGCGGGCTACACTCTACTTGATAGGGTGAAGAGCTCAGTCATCCAGAAGGAGCTCAGAGTAGAGCCACTTCTCCTCCACATTGAGAGGAGCAAGTTGAGGTGGTTCGGGCATTTGATTAGGATGCCCCCTGGGTGCCTCCCCATGGGGGTTTACCAGGCATGGCCTACTGGGACGAGACCCCAGTAGAATATATCAAGATTATATCTAATATTTCTCAACATTAAAAATATTAGATATACTGAAAATATTTTCACTTGAAAAGATACCATTTTTTGCAATGTTCATGTATCTCAGAGGAAGCACAAGATAGCCTCCCAGCTTGGTAGCAATGTGTGATAGCTAGTGAGTGGGACCTTCAGACGTTCTTCAGTGTGTCTCAGGGGCCCTAACATGTATTCCTCCATGGGCTAATACTACATGCACTAAATTCTGGTCCTTCTATCAGCATGATGTAAAAGGAACCTGGATTCATCTAACCAGGCAACTTTTTTCCCCACTCCTTCTGCCCAGTATTGATGTTACAGCTTCACCAGGCATGTTCTTTAGCTGTTGTAGCCCATTCACCTGGTTGCTAGTTTGTGGCCTGTGTAGGAGTCTGAATGAGCATGAAATTGAAGCCCTCTGGCCATCTATTAGCCCCACTGTTATTCTTCCTTCGTCTTGTTACAGAAATGCTCTCAAACTAATTACAGGGCTGCGTTTAACCCAGAAACCTTAGCAAAACGATGCACTACATTTTGAGACTGAAAGTGCCTGAAGTGTAGCCTCCTAATTAGAGGAGAGGCCATCTCATCTGCCCCTTCCAGTGGCCTAAACACAGACAGAGTATACAGACTCAGAAGTTACATTTCAACATTAATATTCAGAAGAACAGAACAACACATTGCTTCCAAAAGTACTGTATAATCTATTTAAGGTTGAGTCTTAATGGAGATAATGTATCTAGATGGATCCAAAATATCTACCTGTATTAACATAGTTTATCAATGTCAACCACTTAATTTAAGATGTAAGATGTAAACAGAGTCATTCAGAGTGGTTTGATGTGGAATGATCCATTTTAGAGAAACGTACAGAGTCAGAATTTTTCTCAGTGGTGATAGGAACCAGATGTCCAAACAGTTTATTGCCCGAAAAACCACCTCACTGCACAAAATTCTTACATTTACACTTCCTGGCGCCCAAGACATTGTTTTACGACAGTTTAATCAAAAAGGTTTAGGCTTAAACTGTAATTTTTAAACGCATTCATGGTGGAGAAGAACATGATGAGTGTTCTAAGGTAAAGTAGTTATCAAAGAAAGCCTATTTTTTGAGATTTGCCACTATTTTACCATCTTCAACATTACAAATAAACACTCAGAAGACACGTGTAGGTTCACTGGTGGGTTTGAATCATAAATAAAACGGCTATGTTTGTGCCGTAGACATCATGACATCTGGTTCCTATCACCACCACTATAAAGATGATATGCATCTGTAAGTTTCTCTACAATCATTTCACATCAAACCACTCTGAATGACTCTGTTTACAGCTCAACAATTAAGTTATACAGACATTTTGAATAAGCATGGTGGAAAGATACATAATGGCTTTTCCAACAATCCAACACATCCTTCTCATCATCCATGGTGTGATGTTGAACATTCATCCCTGTTTTCATTCTGAGGAATTTTCACCAATTCCTCAAACTCCAGAGCAGTTATAGACTACAGTATTACTAGAGAGAGAGAGAGAGAGAGAGAGAGAGAGAGAGAATGCAACCTGAACCTGATGTTGTACATGAAAAATCAGCCTTAACCCCAATATTTTGTCAGGCCTCATCAGGCTTGAGTCAGGTAGCAGACCTCTAGGCATTTGGCCTAAGCTTACTCATTAGAAGGCTGGACCCCCATTTCTGGAGAGCCACTTTGGGACAATCCATGTTGTAACTCTACATAAATAAAATTGAACTGCATTGAATTCACCTGCAATGGACTGGCAACCTGTCCGGGGTGTTTCCTGCCTTCTGCCCAATGACCGCTGGGATAGGTTTCAGCGACCCAGAAGGATAAGTGGCTTGGATAATGTGTATGTGTGTGCACTAAATTGATAATCTACCAGTGGTTCCCCCAAGAAATATTGCTTCCTATATATTTCCAGTCACCAGTTTCAGGGACATGCTCCATAAAGTCTTTGCCCACATTGAAACCCAAGGTGCCTTGAGTTTTGATACAGTAATGACCACTATTTTCAACCATCTACATCTCTAGACTGAGAGAGGTAGCAATTTTCCTCTCAGTTGTTTTTTTTTTTACATTTGCAGGCAGGACAGATATAGAAAAACACAAAAAACTGAGCTGTCAACCAATTTGAGAGCAACACAGTGTAAACCAGATTGGATGATATACTGCACACCTGAGGCTCTCAAGTGTTTATTTCTGTCCACACAATTTACAACAACAAATCGGGCCGAAGTCTGAATGGCATCACCTTTTATATAAGCCTAAACAAGTGTGAAATGATGAAAACGGTCAAACATGTTGAAAGGGTTTGCAGTGAACTGAGTAAAACAAAAGTACACTATGTGGCCAAAAGTATGTGGACACCCCTCCTAGTTGCTAACAGGTGTATAAAATCAAGCACAGAGCCATGGAGTCTCCACAGACAAACACTGGCTGTAGGATGGGTCATACTGAAGAGTACAGTGATTTTAAATATGGTGCTGTCCTAGGATGCCACTTCATTTCTTGACATTTCTGCCATGCTAGATCTGCCCCAGTCAACTGTAAGTGCTAGTATTGTGAAATGGAAGCAGCTAGGAGCAACAAAGCCATGAAGCCGTAGACCATACAAACGGATGGCGCGGGAGCAGTAGTATGCATGCTTTAGCACTCTGGAAGCAAAATCAGTACAAGAACTGTGCATTGGGAACTTCATGAAATGGGTTTCCATGGACAAGCAGCTACACACAAGCCTGAGATCACTACGTGCAATGCTGAGCGTCAGCTGGAGTGGTGTGAAGCAGACTGCCGCTGGACTCTGGAACCGTGGAAACATGTTCTCCAGAATGGTGAATCATGCTCCTCTATCTGGCAGTCTGATGGATGAACCTGGATTTGCTGGATGCCAGGAGAACATGCCCTACAGCAATGCATAGTGCCAATAGTAAAGTTTGGTGGCGGAGGTATAATGGGCTGGGGCTTCTTTTCAGCGTTTGGGGCCCTTAGTTCCAGTGAAGGATAATGTTAATGCTACAGCATACAAAGACATTTTTAGGCTATTATATACCTCCAATTTTGTGACAATAGTTTAGGGAACAGCTACAGCAATTAAAGACATTTTAAACAGTTATATTCTTCCAACTTTGTGGTAACAGTTTGCTGTGGGGCACTGGGAGGGGGCTTAAACAGCTTTTGAGGATAAACAAACATATAATGAGCTATTCTCACTGCAAGAATTTTAATCTGAAAATACAATTGTTTTAATGGTTAGTACAATACGGTTAAAGAAAAACCTTCTTCTCCAGTGAAACAGGAGAGTATATTAACAATAGTCAGAAGTACAACCATGGGTAATTATTTTTACTAGTGAGATGTTGTAGATATTAATGCTTTCATGCAAATTACTAAAAATATCTTTTTTTAGATGTTTTACAATTTACAACTACTTAAAAGCTCATGAATCATTACTTAATCTAAATATCATATTTATTAAAAAGGTAATGTATGTGAACACCATAGTAGAATGAAACAAGAATGAAATTACTAAAAATTACTTAAAAACAAGTAATAATGTGTAGAATTAGGTTGAATAACCATATAATATTCTTCAAACACTCCCATAATGAAAAATATCATATATTTTCTGTAGGTAGATGTTTTCACTGGCTAAATTTGATAGCACTTACGGTTGACTAGGACAGATATATCGGGGCAGAAATTTCACAAGCCGACTTGTGGCAAGTGCTCCATTTAAAATCAATGAGCTGTTCAGTATGACCCAACTGTCAGTGTTTGTCTATATGGAGATTGCATGACCATGTGCTTGACTTTATACACCTGTTGTCAATGAGTGTGGCTGACACATCTGAACTCACTAATTAGGAGGAGTGTCCACATACTTTTGGCCATATAGTGCACAAAAAGCGAGATGATTATATGCAATAAACATGAACGAAAAATTACAGATACGTATTTTTATTATTTCACAGAACTCAGTAGGCCTTCTCCAAAAACCTAACATGCCCTGAGGGCTCCCCACTGCCTCATTTATAATATATCTACATCATCTGCATCACAGATTTGTAGTATGGTGTATTCTCCTTAGGATTGCTCTAGTTAATGGAGTGTGTGTGGGGGGAGGGTATCTCTATTTGGCCCCTCTCCCATCGCCCTATCCCCTTATCAGTAGTACTCTGACCTCTCCACAGATCCTGTATAAAAGGGCCAGAACACTGCGCACTCTCCTCTCCTAACACAGTGTTTCTGCCCAAAGTCCACCGCTCAGCACCATGCCTGTCGACTTCAATGGGAGATGGGTGATGGAGACCAACGACAACTTTGAGGACTTCATGAAAGTACTGAGTAAGCCTGAAAAGACACGGAGGCTGATTTCGTTACTGTAAACAGTGGTTTTTGCTGATTGGAGTGAGAATAGAGGGGTAGCTGTAGTCTTCTGTATGGACCAGAGGGGTCATTACTGTGGACATCTTCTCTTTCTCCTCTGCAGACATTGATTTGGCCACACGCAAGATTGCCATCCACCTCTCTCAGACCAAGGTCATTATCCAGGACGGGGACAAGTTTGTGATGAAGACCCTCAGCATCTTCCGGAATTACGAGATGAGCTTCACGATCGGAGAGGAGATTGAGGAGTACACTAAGGGCCTTGACAACCGGGTGGTTAAGGTGAGGCTGTGATGAATCGGTGTTAATATCGTACGTCTTTTTCCACTTACCTTAATGGCATGTGTCTCGCTCGAGCTGCACTTACTCTGCGACCCTGGCTCCGATCCCAGCGCCAGTGATGGAACACGTGTTAAACAAATAGAGAATAGTCATCAAAGTACACCCGCAGGGACAATAAGTACAGTAGACAGGGATTTATCGGGTTCACCTTAGAGCAATGGTTGGGCCATCTGGTAGAATTTGTTTAAAAAGTCTAGTTGAAACCCATTTTGGACTTTTAACTGACTTGGACATTTAACTAAATTCCTTTTGCTTTGAATGAGCCTGTATTAAAATAAATGGTTAGACATTTCATTTTGTCACTATCAATATAGTAATAATGCTACTTTATGAAACTTTAACAAGTGTTTCAGTAGTGACTGTTTTGGTAGCGAAAATTTGAGGTAATTTAGAACAGAACTCAAAAACACAGCCAGTACATGCAAAGAAACACAGCTTTGAACAGTTGTACACACATAATATCATATTATTTTTCATTAAAACACAAAAAACTTTACTTAATTGCAGAAAATATGTGTTTCAGTTCTTAATGTTCCACACTGATTTTCAGATTTTGGGACACATTTACTTCCAAACAATGGGATCTAACTGCTCACCATGTGGCCATGAGGGACAGGGATGCAGCCTCGCTTCCTACTCTAAAATGCAGGGGTGTGGCAAAAACAAGGCTCCACCCATGGAATAAAACTCTTTGTGTTTTGGGAGTGACATCAAGTGTAAAGTGTAAATTTAGGGGTTAGGGTTTGGAACAGACACCTCCCAATAGAAAGTAGTGTATAAATTATGAATTTGTATATATTTAGCTTATTGGGTTTAAATAGATCACAACATATTTCTTGTAAATATCTTAAGTCTGATTATTTTCTTATTATAATTTGTTTTTTTACTGTGGGACCACAGCTTGAACTAATTTGGTAATATACTCATAAACAAATATGTTTTAAAAAAAGTTTTTATTAGTATACCACAGACCTTGGAACATAGTTAGGTAGTTTTTCTTTTTATCTATTTATTTATTTATTTATTCATTCAAGCACATATTGTCCCACTTTTGCTGATCTCACCCTGCTTAAAAGTAATTAATACAAAATTCATATTTTAAAACTTGGCAATTAACTAAATATAACTAAATAACTATAATAAACTGGGGAGCTCTGCAATTACACACAGCTTCAGTAAAACACTAATACTAAGCTTATCACTACTGAGGATGCTGGTTAGTTTGGCTATCCTTCAAAAGAGCTTAGTAATGCTGTGATCAATAGCTGGCCCATCGCTTTGATTTATCAGTCTACTCAAGCTTTAGCAGAGCTCAGTAACACTGAGATTAATAACTGATCATCACATTGATTTATCAGTCTACTCAGGCTTTAGCAGAGCTCAGTAACACTGAGATTAATAACTGATCATCACATTGATTTATCAGTCTACTCAGGCTTTAGCAGAGCTCAGTAACACTGAGATTAATAACTGATCATCACATTGATTTATCAGTCTACTCAGGCTTTAGCAGAGCTCAGTGACACAGATTAATAACTGATCATCACTTTGATTTATCAGTATATTTAGGCTTTATGCACTGATTTTAAACTAGGTAATAAACATGCAATGAAGATGCTTCTTTAAAAGATTATATATTTTAAGTGTTTAAAATTATTCTCCTTAAAATGCAAGAGGTAACTGCATTCAAATCCTAAATCCTATATTTCAACTTGTGAAATAACACTATTTTTGTCCTTTTTCTTTTTAAGATCTTTTTGATTTACTTTAAAGTGAAGTTGTAAGATTTATTTATTACGTGTTTAAATAAAAAATAATAATAATAATAATTATTAAAAATGCTGCCCCACTTTTTGCTCATGGGGCAGCACTAGTGTTTCACTAGTGACACTTTCATGTCACTAGTGAAAGACAAGTTTTAGTCCATGGGTGGAGCCTTATTTTAGCCACACCCCTGCATTTCAGAGCAGGAACTGAGGCTGCATCCCTGTCCCTTATGGCCACATGGTGAGCAGTTAGATCCGATTGCTTTGAAGTAAATGTGTCCCAAAATCTGAAAATTTGTCTGCAACATTAAGAATTGTCACTACCGAAACACATTTTCTGCAACTCAGTGAATTTTTTTGTGCTTTAATGTAAAATATTATGATTTCATGTATGTACACAGTATTTAAAGCTATGTTTGCTGACCACATACTGACTAGTGTTTTTTGTTCTGCTAAATATTTGCTAAAATGGTCAGCACCAAAACAGTCACTGCTGAAACATTTGGTAAAGTTTCAGTAGTGTTATGATTGTTTTGTTAGTGACAAAATGGAATGTTTAATCATTTATTTGAACAAAATAAACATAATAAAAGTATAGGGCCACTCAAAGCCAAAAGAGTTTAGTCCAAGTCAGTTAAATGTCTAAAATGAGTTCTCAACTGTAATTTTGAATTTGGAAGAGTGATCGATATAAATAAGCTATAGTTATGACATGTACCTTTCATGAGTCTCACTGTGTTTGACTTCATTAGAGCCAAAGCAGCTGTGTTTGAGTAAGAAAACGTAGCTCAGTGTGAGTGAAATAGCACAGAATAAGGCCATTGCACTGTTGCCTGACAGGCCTGTCTCAACAGACCCTGATCACCTGGGAGGGCGATAAATTGGTGTGCACACAAAGAGGTGAGAAGGCCAACCGCGGATGGAAGCACTGGATAGAGGGAGATAAACTACACTTGGTGAGCCTCCAATAGCTTTGCATTACTTACAGGTTAACACTACCTACAGGTAACACTACCTATACAGAGAATTCACAACACAGACAGAAGTATTTAACGCATATTCAAAAAGCCTGGCTTGCATTCAATTTTCCCAGGTCTTTCCAAAGGTGTTCGTGAGGTTCAGAGGTCAGGGCTCTGTGCAGGCCACTGGAGTTCCTCCACACCAAACTCATCAAACCATGTCTTTATGAACCTCGCTTTGTGCACAGGGGCTCAGTCATGGTGGAGCAGGAAAGAAGCTTCCTAAACTGTTCCCTAAACCATTGCCACAAAATTGAAGGAGTATAATAGCCTAAAAATGTCTTTGTATGCTGTAGCATTAACATTAACCTTCACTGGAACTAAGAGGCCCAAACTTAGCAACCACCTGGGATTGTATAGTAACAGCCTAACAACACTGCAGCAATCACCTAACAACCAGCAAGCAACACCCTAAAATGCTAGAATATCACAGCAACCTCATAGCAACTGCATGGAATAACTATATAAAACCAATTAAGTTATCAAAAACAATCAGACAACTGCTTTTGAAGCATTATTAGCTTGCTTTGTCAAGCCAACTTAGTCAGTTAACGACCTTTGTCTTTCTATTATTTATTTTTTTTGTTTACTTTTCATAATAGGCGTCTATTAAATTGATACGCTAACGTTGTGTTTTTCTACCCTTTATATTTGCAGGAGCTGTTTTGTGAAGGAGTTGTTTGTCATCAAGTGTTTAAGAAACAAGCTTAGTGGTCGCACTCCATGGTCACTGGAAAATAACTGTATTGACCCTTTTTATCAATAAAGAAACCACTGAATAGAGCCTTAAATGTAGCAATGTTAAGTACTTTATTGATCCTACAAGACAAATTTGACATTTTGTGGCCTAACTAGGCCCTGTGTGGGGCAGTACAGCATAAACCCCCCCACACCAGAAAGTTACTTTAACCCCTTCACCTGGTGAGAAGAAAAACATGTTTTTACTCTATATACAATTTTATATAGAATATATGCAATACGAATCCTGTCTACCTTTTAAATAGTATTTCTTAGTAAGAAAATATTGTGGGATGTTATAAAAAGTCAGAGTCCTTTCATTTAAATCATTACCATTTAAAAAGGCCATTTGATTTCTGAGGAGATTAGATATTCAATGATCGACATGCATAAGGAAGTGGAAAATCAAAGGGGAATCAGTGGAAGGTCCAGAGAATTTGGGACAATTGTGCCAGACCTGGTAGACCACCAAAACTGTCATCGTCAGATAGACACTACTTAAAGATTTCATCTTTGAGTGAAAAGAGAAAGAAGCTGCTGGTGTTCTCAGAACAAAGGACCGGCCACCGCAGAGTCCAGAACTCTACAGCAGTGAACCTGATTAGGATTACTTGGATTGTAAGAACCAGAAAAGTGAACCAACTTCTAAGACTGAACTTTGGAGGTGTGGAACAAGTAAGTCTGAATGTAAGTCTGCCTGAAAAGCTGTAACGAAGAAGTTGTTGAGGCGTCTGTGAAAATTTCTGTTAAATATGTTTTCTGTTTTTTCCCTTTATACTGAAAAATGGCCATTTTAACTGGAAATGTAATAAATTCAGGGGGCTGACCTATGAACAGTACTATAGATATCTGAAACCTAACTACTTTCTTTATTGGTGTATTGTTTTGTCTATTTGGGCCGTTGTCCACCACAAACATTGCACTTTAGCCCCCCTCCAAGACTAAATGTTTTGGCACTCCTGATGTAGGGCAAAGTGCATGTTAGTTCAGTTAGAAAATGTAACCAGAGAATTCATTTTTGTTCTTAACAAAATGCTAATGCCCAATTTGGTTTAGAAAAGCACTTCTGTACTATAAAAACATAAGTAATACGATCAAATGCAGTCAACAGGAGTAGACCACAACAAAGATATTACAGCAGGACCTGCAGGGCTGTCTGAATCACAGCATTTAAACAGGCTAAAAACTGAGAAGGAATTCAGCAGCAGCAGGAAGATTTTACTAACATCTGTTAATAAATGAACAAAACTGTAATTCTTTATTATTGATCTTTAAAAAACAAATGTGCCCATTCATTCAAAAGGGCATTGTGCATAGTGATCTTAGGCTTGTGCGCAGCTGCTCAGCCATGGAAACCCATTTCATGACACTCCTGATGCACAGTTCTTGTGTGGATGTTGCTTCCAGAGGCAGTTTGCAACTCAGCTTCAGCACTCGGCAGCCCCCTTCTGTGATTTTTGCATGGTATACTGCAGGGTGGGGAACTGAGGGCTGGATTCCAGTTGGTAAGTTGAATAAGGTGTGCTTGAGCAGGAAAATCACCAACTGTCAACCAGAGTTCCCCAACCCAACCACTTTGTGGCTGAGCTGTTGTTGCTCATAGGCCCTTCCATTTCACAATAATAGCACTTACAGTTGACCAGGGCAGACCTAGCAGGGCATAAATTTCACAAACTTGTGCAAAAGGTAGCATTGTAAGTCTGTGCCACATTTAAAGCCCATCTATTCTAATGATCCATTCTACTACTAATGCCATATTTCAATCCAATTCAATCCAAAATGGGCATCAGTAACAAAAAACAGTAGTGATAAACCATAGGACAAGCAAAGAGAAAAGCCAAAAAAAGAAAAGAAAAAAAAACAGGAGAAAAAAGGTGAGTACGGGAAGTGTGTAAGGGCCCCATCTGGTGGGCCACCTGAGTAACAGCAGGTGCAGACCTGACAGATCGAGGTCAAATTCCCATTCATCCACAGGAGGGAGATTAGAGAACCCACTGAGTGACAAGTACCAAAGGTGTGTTGATCTGACACACAAATCGGGCAAGGGTTAGTCTGATAATAACCCATATCCACTATTAGGTCAATAATCAAGAAGTTTAAAACAGCTATTAGCTATGTTTAATATCCAAACCACCCAAGAACCGACATGTGTCTTCTAAATTGTCATATGTAATGCTGATGATGGTAAAACAGTAGCAAATCTGAAAAAATAAGTTTTCTTTGAGAACTATTTTGTCCGAGAAAGCGCAGCATGTACCTCTAGCCTTAAATATATTGAAAAATTACAGTTCAATCCTAAACCTTGAGAGAGGCATTAAACTCTTTAGATGTCTGGTTTCCATCACCACCACTGCGAATTCGGACTCTTTATGTTTTTCTAAAATGGAAAAATTCACATCAAGCCACTCTGAAAGACTGTTTATGTCTTAACCATTAAATTATGCAGAAAAAATGAGAAAAATTGTGGAATTCTTCTTTAACTTAGATATATCATTGATCATCTCCAACTTTAGCTACTTTAGGACATTGCCCAAGAGAAAAAACTTGTGTCATTATCTTACTTTCTGTTGGAGACCAGTGCAACCATATAACATCATCGCAGTTTGTCAATGGCAACCTAACAGCACTGGAATTTTTTCATGTTTTTGTATGATAAACGAAACATTTCCACTTGATTTCTGCATCATATTTGAATAGTATTAGATACAGTAGCAGTATGGGTGAAAATTTATATCACGGTATAATTAAGATTACTAACGGTTTCTGTATATATCACGGTATAGTGCATTTATGTACATTTCTTTCACATTAAACCATTTTGGATGTTTAAGTAAACCTTTTTTGTAGATTAAGGCCCAATCCCTTTTCTTCTTTTTACCCCTACCCCTTGTTTTCAAGGGTCACCCTAACCCCTTGGAATGGAGTTACAAGGGGTAGTGGTTGAAATCATGCCCTATGAAATGGGACAAAAAAAAACAACAAAAAAAAAACATTACTTCATTAACAGGCTATTAGCGGTGCTCTGTATGCGACCCGGCCCGTCTTCAGTGATAGCAGAGAAGGGAAAAGTTCAGCAACCTCACTTCTGGGCTTTAGTTACATTTAGGGTATCATATGCTTTCAAAGGGGGGGTATAAGACAATTATTTATTATCACCCACTGCTAATTCTTCAGTGATATGAAGCTGAAGTCAGCTATTCACCAGCTTTTTGTTCGAATTTTCCCGTTCCACCTTAAATGGTGCAGCAGTTATATTCTGGCGCTTCAGGCGTCAGAACTGCTGGACTATTTAAGGTAGAATGAGAAAGTTAGCTAGCTAGCTACCGAGACGTTAGCATGCTATTAGCGATTTTTTATGCTTGTTATGAAGAAGACGATCATAATACATTGAAACGACATTAAACTAAGATAATGCAATGGTTATCGTAAATTTTTAAAAAAGAAAATACTTACATTTGTGGGTTTCTTTGGTCGCTCCATCTTACCAGTTTTTTCTTTTTTTCTCATAACACTCTGTTTGGAGTGTGCCTTTGAAAAATCTCCGTTTGGAGGGCCATGTAGCCCTAACACTTCGCCCTACCCCTCTATCTCACCAAAAATTGGGACCCTAACCCTAGACATGAATGCGCAAAACACAGGGCTAAGGGCTAAGTGGTAGGGGCGAGGGGTGAAATGGGATTGGGCCTAACAATGCCGTATTAGGGAGGAGCGCTGCACACGGAAATCTGGCTAGTTTCCATGCTAGGCTAATGGCTAACAGCTAACCCCAAGAGATTGGCTTTTCCCTCGTGAACTCAGTAACTCATTACAGTCTGATGTCACTCCTTTGAAAACTGGACTAATTAACCTCAGGCTGCAACTCAGTACATGAGAGGTGAGGGAGTGTTTTGCACTGTTCGTATGGCGTGTTATCTGCATTTATTTGCATATATATATATATATATATATATATATATATATATATATATATATGCATATATAAACACCAAAACATTCTAACATTCTAGCTTTCAGGGTTTATTTATTCAGGCTTTATCAGACAGGATTTTAGGGCTCGCTGCAGCACAAAATCCATACATCCTTACCGAGAACTCAACGTCATTTTTAACCTAAAGGGCTCCGTATAATATTGCATTTAATGTGACGGTGAACATATTTAAAACTACTTTTTTGGGACGTGTAGGAAACTCAGCCATGTTTCCTCCACGCTGTTCGGCTCTGTTCATGTGTGTCGCGTCATCAGCTCCCACAACCCGATTCAGGAAGTTCCACGTCAGATCTGTGTTCGTCCAGCTAGAGCCTTTCACTGAGCGGAGACGGGCAGCAGCAGAACCGGCCAGAAGGAGCGAGAAACAGCCCTGGAAACAACATGGTGAGTGCGACACGGCTATCACTGCTGCACATCACAGTTTCAGTGGGGCACAGCGAGTTTCTGCGTTGCGTTTTCCAGCTCCGCGGGCATTTAGGTTAGTTAGCTACTATCAGTTTGCCAGCTAGCATTGCTAAGCTAGCTGAGTTTAGCGGCGCTGAAGGCCACATAGACAGACAGATAGCGAGCCACGTAACCTAGCTCTCCATTCAGTGAGCTAGATGTCTAATTACTATGATAATTATGCTTTGTGACTGTATCAGACTTCATTGCTCGTACTGTGAGCTAGCTAGTCAGCTAAAGTTGCTAGATAGGTTAACTAGCCTATATCTAAAGTCTTCATTTAGCTGGCTAGGTTAGCTTACCTGGTTGACTATCTCGCTAGCCAGCTGGCTAACAGTCAGTTACTAGCTGGTGTCAGCGGTCCATATGTAACAGCCATATAGAAGTGTCCTTTTAAATGACAGCCAATCCGTTTCTGAATATTAATTAATCTATATATTTATATTTTAACGGTAGATACTCGCTGTGTTTGTTAAGGTTACTTGGTTTGCTATGAAGGCGTAGTAAGAAAATGACAGTTAGCTTAGCTTACGTTTCATAGTAAGATACGACGCTCGTTTCTGAACATTCAAGTAAGTCAAACAAGTTTCTAACTTATATTTCAGTCTTTTTTTCTGAGGTCCGCTGTACATTGTGTCTCGTTTTGTGCTCGCTTATGTCCACAATGCTTTAGGTAGGTGAGACTGGGGATGCAGTCTAGGTGTGAGCAATATGACGATAATTTATCGTTATCGTGATTAGTTATGTTACAGCACGCTTTTCTGAGCATATATGGATTTTGTCACTACTTAGTGAACACAGACTAACTAGGCAGCTACATGTTTTATTGCAAAGTGAGCATAGTTAGGCCTGTTTAATTGGATTTAGTGCAGTGCAGGTTGTAAAACACCGGATAAAAGTCATTGTAGTTGCAGGTTGATTATTATTGCCATTATTATTAGTAATATTATTATTGTTGATGTTGTTGTTGGTGTTGTTGTTACAGTAGTATTTTTTACATGTAGCACTACAGGTTCTAATTTGTCCCGACTCAACTCCTAGAATAGTTTTTTCTGAAAAATATGGTGATGCATGTTGTGTATCTTGAAAATGCTTTGAAGTATCGTGATGTAGCATTTTTGCCATATTGCTGACCCCTAGGATGCACCCACAAGGAAAGTGTGGGCAAATGCGGATATTCGATATCTTTCATGTACATCCAGTGGAGTCCAAAAGTCTGAGAGAACATTGAAAATCTGGTATTTATTTCACTTAAACGTGGAAATAAACCCAAAGTTTTAGAATAGTGAAAAAATTAACACAAAATAAATTTTGACAGTTAAAGTAAAGAAGAAATATTTGATATTCTTTCTAGTAAAGGTGGGTGATATGGCAAAAATATAGTATGGCAATACTTCAAGAACTTTTCATGATACACGATATGCATAAGATTTATTTTTTCAGACATCTGATCAGTTGGAACTAAGTGAAAAAGAACAAGTAGTGCTGCATTTTAAAAATACTATCACATCCTGTGAATACAGTGATCTTCTTTGCCAATATTGCAATGTTTGACATAATGTGTTGCACTAAATCCAGTTAAACTGGACTAATTCTTCTCTGATTATAATGAAAAATGCAGGTGGTCTGTGTATAAGTACTGATGATATACACAATATGTTCAGAAAAGCGTATTGCAATGTTATTACAACAATGATATGTAATCATGTTGCCCAGCCTGAATTTCTAGGTCACTATTCAAGTTGAAGCAAATTTATGAAATTGACCATGTACAAAAAGGCCTTTTTCTTTCCATTGAAGCACATGTTCAGATGGCCTTGAGGTGAATTTGATCTACTCTAGCATGAACTTTTAGAGTCTATACCAGCTCAAGTACAGATTGTTATTAAAGCAAAAGGGAGACATACTGCGCCAAATAGTAAGAAATACCGAAACTCATGCAAACTTCCAAAGATTCTACCTTCCACTCTAATTGTTATGCTGACAATAGAATTCGTAATGAAAAACTTTGTATTAAATTAGAAAGGAATGCAAAATAGAAGCGTCGTCACCAGTGGTCTCAGACGTTTGGACCCCACTGTGTATGCCATTAGACAAACATTAATAAAACGTAGAAACTAAGACTAAATTCATCTGGAATAGCATTAGTGAGAAATTAATTGGTTGAGGGTTACAAATGCAGTAAAATGCATACATTTTAGCTCAGTAGCCCAGCGTCACCTAAGCATTCAGTTCTTTCTAATAAGTACATCAAAATATCTAAAATTGGTTTTAAATATCGTTCAAATCAAATCATCTGTATTTTTTTCAATGAATATTTTCTGATACTGGTGTGATTCTGATATTCTCAGTCATCCCTTGTAACGTTATGTGCATGTAGGTTTCTACAGTGCCTAGTTTCTGCCTCAGTAATGCAGTAGTAGGTAAAAGTGAACTGGGTGATCACATAGATGGTAATTTATCCTTTTGCACTTTTCTTCTGTAGCCTCTCAGGCTGGACATCAAGCGCAAGCTCACGGCTCGGTCCGACCGTGTCAAAAGTGTGGACCTTCATCCCACCGAGCCATGGATGATGGCCAGTTTGTACAATGGCAGCGTCTGTGTCTGGAACCATGAAACACAAGTGAGTGAAAGATCACTTTGTGTGGAAAGTTTAGTTAGTGAACTGCAAACTGTAACATTTGTAGTTGTTCAAGAATAATTTAGAGCAGTAAATCATATTTTATGTTGAGCATCAATCTCATAGTTTTTCCTGTCATCGTTTTTATAGACCTTGGTTAAGACGTTTGAAGTATGTGACCTGCCAGTGAGGGCCTCGAAGTTTGTTGCCAGGAAGAACTGGGTCATCACTGGAGCGGTAAGTCGAACTTTACAATAGTTGTAATAAGGTCACTTCATGTAGCCCCTTCCTCATATTCCTGGATGCTTAAAGGGCCCATATCTTGGAAAAACAAATTTTACTCACTTTTTTGACGTAAGAGTTGGGTGTAGTATGTAAACATTGCTCAAGTTTCAAAATATACTATTTACTACCCAGTCGACACTGTCTGTATATGGAAATTAAGCTGTTAACAGCCTGTTTTAAATTCACTGTTTCTGTGATGTCACAAAAACCAACACAGTTACGTATATCTGCTTGTTCAGCCCTGTCCAACTGAGTTTGAAGTTATAAGGAGACTTTCAGGCTGGACTGCTTTTTGAATGAGACACAATACAGGGCAGCCAATCAGAACAGAGATCATTTACTGCATCAGTCTTAAAGGCACAGTAACAAAACAGCCTCTTTAATTCTAAGAGACAGAGAGTTTGGAAAACAGTTGTGTAAAAATGAATTATGACTGTTTTTGGTGCATAAGCCCACACAGATGTTATAAGTGGACCTCTGTGGGAACAATTAAAAAATGTAGGATATTGGCCCTTCAAGTGTAAACCAGTTGTATTACATGTTAATAGCAGATGAATTTAAGATGTCTTCGAAGCTTAGTAATTGTTATTGCATCTCAGATGCTATTATGGTAACAAATTTGGTTGGACCTGGTGTGAATTGCCTACTTTCCACCCTCGTTTTCTAGGATGACATGCAGATTCGTGTTTTCAACTACAACACACTAGAGCGGGTCCACATGTTTGAGGCCCACTCGGATTACATCCGCTGCATTGCTGTGCACCCCACCCAGCCCTACATCCTTACCAGCAGCGGTATGTACAGATTCATTTTCACATGATCTTAATTTGCAGACCTATAAAGGAGAATGTTTCCCACATGATGGATATCACTGGGTAATTAATAAGTATGAATATGACACTGTTTGTATATATGTGTGCATTCAGATGACATGCTGATTAAGCTGTGGGACTGGGAGAAGAAGTGGTCGTGCAGTCAGGTGTTTGAGGGCCACACACACTACGTCATGCAGATTGTCATCAACCCAAAAGACAACAACCAGTTTGCCAGTGCTTCTCTGGACAGGACCATCAAGGTATTTGATTGACGTGCAAATATGCGGATGTGGTTTTACACACAAAATTTATTTGTTATTATATTGTTTTTCATATGAACATTATGTATGTGTATAAACTAGAGCAGGGCTGCTCAAGGTGTGCCAGAGTTGGCCTGTGAGGATAGTTGGGATAGTGCGATAGTGTACCTAGAAAGGTACACTATCCCAACCCCCTAACACAATGAGAGAACATAGTTTTATACTAAATATAACTACAGTGGGGACCAAAAGCCTGAGACCAGTACTAAAAATACTTCTGTTTTGTGTTCTTTTCTAATTTAATAAAAAAACGTGAGTGAAAAGGAGACTTTTTGAAATATTTATGTGATATATTATTATGTGAAATATTATGTTTTGCTTTAATGACAGTGTGCAATCGAGCTGGCACAGCTCGTTTTAGTAACTAAATATGTTGTGAAAATTGAAAACTTCTGTTTGACAACTTTTATTTTTCTGTGCTGAACCAAACTGTATAAAATTAGAGCGCTGTATCATTTTTAACATACAAAATATTGAAAATTAAATTGAATCTTGACTTTAGAATTATAAATATAATCAAACCTGAAAATGTTTGCATTGTTATGCACCTTGTCTGATGTATGCAAGTGGTATGCAAGAAAAAATGCTAATATATTAGCATTAACATATGATCACAAGCTATATATTCAGGCACCCTTTACTTTTACTGTATGTTTCTATACTTGCATACTATTGTGGTTTTTTGACCTACTGCCCTACAATGTTGCACTTTAGCCACCCAAGACAAAAGTTCGGACACCCTGCCCTTAGTTCATCCATTCATCCATTGCATGAAGTAAATATAATAGCTTTAAGATGACTGAAGGAGGGCGGGTTGATTGTTTTGATGATGTGAGTAACCTCTTATTTTTTCTTTTCTGGTGCCGTAGGTCTGGCAGCTGGGCTCATCGTCTCCTAACTTCACCCTGGAGGGTCATGAGAAAGGAGTGAACTGCATTGATTATTACAGTGGAGGAGATAAGCCTTATCTTATTTCAGGAGCTGATGACAGGCTTGTAAAGATTTGGGACTACCAGGTATAGACCTCCTTCCTTTTTTTAAGCAAAGTTTTTTTTTTCTGTATTACACGAGAGAGAGAGAAAGAGAGAGAGAGAGAAACAGAAAACCCTTTTCCAACAGTCGGCCCATCCCTACTGTTATATCACACAATGAGTATATAATTTAAATTGGAAAACTCTTATGTAACTAAACATACAAACAAAATAAATAAGAAAATAAAACACCTATAAACATGTATTACTTACATAGTGTAAAATTCACTCAGTTATTTAAAATCACAGAGGTGGTGGTTTCACAAGGCTAAGACATTAGTGGAGTCTGTATTTTCTACATTTGTCCAGACCACTAGACCACTTTTTTTTGGGATCATTTGGTGTAAGCCCTGTTTTGATGGGTTTATTTTACATGGGGAGTTGAGTTAATGCAGTTATTACAGTCTTGTTTGAATCCACAATCACAGTTCACCATGATCTGCACGCTCCCATGTCATATTATAAAGTATAGAAGGTTATATGAATGCTGTATTAATTTTGAGTTTCCCAAATTAAGTCATTATGTATCATCCTTAACAAGTGTACGACTCTGAACATTAAAACATGTAAAATGACAGAAAACAGTATGATCTCATGCACCGATGATTACTGTTGACTGTAAATGTCTTTGCTAATGACCATGCTAATGATATGTTGTATTCTTTTAAGACAGCTAGGTAGATGTTTAGGATAAATGAACAGAGATGTCTTATACTGTGCCAATCAGTCAATAACGTTACAGATGTTCTGTGGTAAAATGATATTATCCCACCCCACTGTAAGAAACGTAACCCATCCAGATAGTATTTAAGTCGCCTTGCTAAGAGAGTAGCCAAAAACAAAATTGTTTAGGCCAAGGCTGCCCAAAGTGTGGCCTGTGAGGATGTTTGATTTGGATGTGGACAGACCTTCTTCCTTTTAGCATCTTTTTGATTTCTTTGTGTTGCAGCTTTCGCTGCCTCTTATATTTTTTGCTCCTTTAAAGTGCCTCTCATGTCTCCTCAGAATAAGACGTGCGTGCAGACGTTGGAGGGTCATGCCCAGAACGTGTCTTGTGTGAGCTTCCACCCAGAGCTGCCGATCATCGTCACAGGATCTGAAGACGGTCAGTTTGCCTGAAAGAGATTTGCCAAAAATGCAAATGTGGCCAGCGACTTGTGAAGGCTAGAAGTATCAGTTAATGAGATCCAATAATATTGTGTTTCCTTACTGGTGTTTAGGCACAGTGCGTATCTGGCATTCCAGCACCTACCGCTTGGAGAGCACACTGAACTACGGCATGGAGCGGGTGTGGTGTGTGTGTGGCCTGCGTGGCTCCAACAACGTGGCACTTGGTTACGATGAGGGTAGCATCATAATCAAGGTAATATGTTATTACCATACAATCAGCGATTATTTGAATTGGATGATATAACATGATGTACATTCACATCTCACACATGCTTTAATAATACTACTAGGCCAGCTCAATTTAAAGAGAGACATTCAAAGCATTTAAGCATTCAAGCAACATTTTTATGTATGTTGCAGTTTTAAAGTGAATCCATCAGTAAAGCACTGTCTGAATATTATTGGAGTAGCCTGTTGGCTGTCTGCTGAGCTGTCCAGCCAAGACTTCAAAGAAAAATCTTTTGCTTTATATACTCTTTCACTTCTTGTGTTTGTAACTATGAAGATACATTCATTTGTGAGCAATTTGGGTTCTAATAGCTCCCCCTTGTGGAGGTTGTTCAGACTGTGGATACCCTGTTTATTATTAAGATTGCAAACTATGTACTAAGCTGATTCATCAAGAATGTGTCTTAATTAATTAATCAGTGAATGATTTTAATCAAGTAAGCCTATGAAAGTTACCATTTACCGTCCTTTTGAAATTCAGCATTGTGTTATGGCCTCCTTTGTTTGCTTATCACAATCCATGCCATTATGACTGTCAAATAATTTGATGTAATGATTTCTGTGTTTCTTCATTAGCTTGGACGTGAGGAGCCAGCCATGTCTATGGACACCAATGGAAAGATTATCTGGGCTAAGCACTCTGAGGTCCAGCAGGCTAACCTGAAGGCCATGGGGGATGCTGAAATTAAAGATGGAGAGAGGCTGCCACTGGCTGTAAAAGACATGGGCAGCTGTGAGATCTACCCACAGACTATTCAGCACAACCCTAACGGAAGGTTAGTTTACACAGTATATTAAATCCAAATCCGTACTGAAACATCAAAACAGCGAAACAGCATTTCAGGGACTCTTTAGTGAGGTTGTATGAAAATGGATTGAAAAATATAATGAAAAAGATTTTATGCTTCTTTAACTACTTCTAATTTAGCTGCTTTGAATATGCTGAAGCAATTGATCTTGTATTAGTTATTTTTGGAAGCACACTTGTGCTGTAATGTTAGACTGGGCCAATTTGTCTTAATACACAGCGCGTCTGGGCTCTCTTTATGAAATATGTTAGAAATGTTTGTCTGTGACTAACTGACTAATTAGGTTTTATCTTGATTGATGTCACTAGGTTTGTAGTGGTTTGTGGGGATGGAGAGTATATCATCTACACAGCCATGGCTCTGAGGAACAAAAGCTTCGGCTCAGCCCAGGAGTTTGTCTGGGCCCACGACTCCTCTGAGTAAGATTTTGTCGTTTTCTCCTGATCTACTTCTTTTTCAGTCCCTGCAGTCACTGCACTGCAGAACTAACAGCATGCATAAATAATAGGTCTTAGAAGACCTGCTAAAATATTCATGAGATGCTTTCTATCAGAAAAGTTTGAGGTCGTATTTGCAAGTGGAATTATAACTCGAGATTCTAGGTGATACACAAGATTACCCAGTCGCAAACTATGACCTTTAGGGCTAGGTTTTCCGTTTGGGCCATAAATGTCAAAACTTGGTTGGCGCATTTAAGGTGGAACGGAAAATTTGTTGCCACAAGAATGTACCTGCTGCACCAATTAAGGGGGATGGAAAATTCAAAAAAGGTATTTCTAGGTTTAAGATAGACATTTGAACCTTTTAACAGACATGATGTTTTACTTAAAGCTTGTGACAAGCATGGTTTACCTTCTAGCAGTTTCTCAGACTCCTTCAGTAGAGGGGCTGTTGTAGAGCTGCCACTTCTATTTTCAGTTACTGACAAACCCTTGATTGGCTTTGTATTCACAGTAAGTGATGTATGTAGGACTTCCATAAGGACTAAAGTGATGTTGTTATTTCACGAAATGGGTCCTGCATATTGGAAATCAGAACATGATTGGTTGATTCCTCTGCTTGCTCTTATTAGTCAATCTTGCACATTGGGACTTCTCTTCAGCTCTTGAAGTCGTAACCAAGAGGAGCGCTGGCTTAGCTAAATTTACATATACCCCATGGAGAAAAACAGTTTCTGATTAGAGTTTCAAGAATTTAACCATTTTGTTTTCATCCAAAACTTTACAATGAAACGAGTAATACTGTAATACTGACAGAGTTTAAATACAAGCGTGATTCTATTGAATAAAAATGAAATACGAATTACATATAATGAGAGCTTTCACCTTTTCAGCCAGTGAAAAACAGGTGATGAATGTGAAGAATAAATACTTGACGCGCTTCAATGCGCTTTTTTAAACAGCAGAGAAAACGCAGGATATATGCTCCTTCTTTGTGTGGTGGACAACAGGCACCCCAATGAGGGTCAAGTTGTATTCAGTAGAGGATCATCTGTCTATGCTAATTATATTATCTAATATTGTAAACATTTAAAAATGTGCTGCTGTGTAAATTACTGTCCTTTTGATTCTCTTTTACATTGTACATTCTTTTTTTTTTATTGCTTTGCCTTGTTTCAATTGTTCACTTTATATGGTCATTCTATTCTTTGGTTAGTTTAAAAAATGCATACAGTAGAAAAGATTATGCAGATTATTGTAGACTATTCAAATAGAGCTGTATAGAGTATAATTATCAGTATAAAAGATACATTATTAACAATTATTGATAATTATACTATAGCTGTATTACTGTCAGGGAAAATGCTATAGGGAAAGACTCTGTAATACTCATGTAGTACTTTGTAACTGAATTTGGATCACGATGATTAAGAATGTTTGTCTAAATTTACGTTATCAATCGAGCTTATTGAAATGAACGATTTTCTCATGAGTGCCTAAACGCAGTATTAGTCCTGGTGTAGCAATCATGGTTTCTTGCAACTTCTGTCTGGAATTTTATTAGAGTGTCAAATGAATAAGAAATCTTGTGTTATTCTGATGTGCAGGTATGCAATCAGAGAAAGCAACAGTGTTGTGAAAATCTTCAAGAACTTCAAGGAGAAGAAGTCTTTCAAGCCAGACTTTGGAGCTGAGGGTACAGCACATTTAATTTCACAATTTTTTATACAACCCTGTTTCCAAAAAAGTTGGGACATTGTGAAAAATGTAAATAAAAATAGAACACAATGCAAATCATGTCAACTCTGTATTTAATTGAAAATAGTACGAAGACAACATATCAGATTTTGAAACTGAGTAATGTTGTTTTAAATACATGCCCGTTTTGAATTTGATACCAGCAACATATTCCAAAGGAGTTGGGATGGGGGCCTGTTTACCACTGTGTTGCGTCACCTTTTAACAACGCACACAACACAAGCGTTTGGGAACTGAGGAGACCAACTGCTGTAGTTTTGAAAGTGAAATGTTTTTCCGTTCTTGCTTGAAATAGGATTTAAGCTGCTCAACGGTTTGGGGGCTCCTTTGTCGTATTTTTTGTTTTATAATGTGACAAATGTTTTCAATGGGTGACAGATCTGGACTGCAGGCAGGCCAGTTTAGCACCCGGACTCGGCTTGAAGAATTTCAAATTTTGATTTGTTGAACCACAGGTCCCTTTCCCACTTGGCCACAGTCCGTCTAAAATGAGCTTGGGCCCAGAGAAGGCAGCGGCGTTTCTGGATCCTGTTTATATACAGTTTCTTCTTTCCATGGTAGAGTTTTAACTTGGATTTGTGGATACGATGAACTGTTTTCACAGACAGTGTTTTTCAGATGTGTTCCTGAGCCCATGCAGTGATTTCCACTACAGAGTCATGTCTGTTTTTAATGCAGTGCTGCCTGACGGGCCCGAAGATCACAGCCTGCCAGTATTTGTCTTTAGCCTTGTCGCTTGCATACAGACATTTCTCCAGATTCTCTGAATCTTTTAACGATATTATGTAGATGATTTTGCTATTTTTCATTGAGAATTTTATTCTTGAATTGTTGCACTATTTGCCTGCGCAGTCTTTCACAGATTGAAACTCTGGGATACTCTTTTTATCTTCAGTCATGTTACTGATCTGTTGGCAATTAACCACCAGGTAACATTTTGCACGACGTCCCAACGTTTTTGGAAACAGGGGTTGTAACTGAAGTTGCTAACTTGAAGTGATGTGTGATTGTGAGCAAATGCCAATCCATGTTTGTGTTTTTTTTTTTTTTGTTGTTTAGGTATCTATGGCGGTTTCCTGCTGGGCGTCAGGTCTGTAAACGGTTTGGCCTTCTATGACTGGGAGAACACAGAGCTGATTCGCCGCATTGAGATTCAGCCCAAACACGTAAATATATTGCACATTGCTTCACTTCACAAAACTGTTTTTAATCGTGGATATTTGCAGTGTTGCTCTTGAGTCACAGGGTGATGATACATGTGTGATGAGTTTTCTGTTTGTCCTTAGATCTTCTGGTCAGACTCTGGAGAGCTGGTTTGTATCGCCACTGAGGAGTCTTTCTTCATCCTGCGCTATCTGGCTGACAAAGTGGCTGCATCACAGGAGTCCAACGAGGGGGTCACAGAGGATGGTATTGAGGATGCTTTTGAGGTTAGAGGACTGTTTTAATCATTACACTTTAAAAAAAAACATTTTAGAAGGTTAAATTAAAACGTTGAAAATGAAAGCGATTTGAGCACTACAACAAAAAGAGAAGAGAACTGTCCAAAATGACAAATAATTGATGGAGTAGGGCTGCATAATTTGGGCAAAATGTCTAATTGTGATATCTCATCTCATAATCTAATTCTTTAATTACATTTTTCTGACCAATATAGTAAATTGAGTTTAAATAGTGTTTATTTTCTATAAATGGAGATTGCTTCTGATTGGTCTAACTCTGTGGTTCTCAAACCAGTTCCAAGGGACCCCCAAACATTAGCCAGTTTGCTCCGTTCTTATGGGTTACATTTTGTGTTGGAGCTAAAATGTGGAATGTCTTTTGGCTCTGAGGACTAGTTTAAGTAGCACTGGTCTAACTCATCAAAAGGTGGTTCACAAGCTCTGTGTTATTGGGATGCAAGTCCCCATTTAAAACTTACTAATACAGTCTTGTTGATAATGTAGGCTAGAACTGTAAATTGCAGTTGCAATTTAAAAATGATGATCTTTCAGCACTCAGGTGAAACTATAAAGTTTAAAATTTACAAAGCGCTTATAAAAGACTTAAACTACACTTGGTTTACAGATGTGTGCATAAACATACAGTTAAAGGTGGCATATGTTGATGGTTATTGGTATCGGCCCAGTATCAGCAGATGAAGAACTGGATATCTGAAGGATCCAATTATGTAAAAAAGCTATCCTGAAATAGCACACACTCACATGTCACTCATGTAATGTGTTGTTGTTAGCATGTATTTCTTCTTGTGGGATAATAGAGTGATTGAATAGTTTGAGCATGATGCCTAAGATGATGCTTAAGTGAAGTGCTTAATTAAAAATAACTTAAGAAATAGCAAAGATATCAGTTGATATTCAAGGATTCTTGATGAGAATTTGATTTGCAAGTGAATATTATACAGTATGTCTGTATTGTTCCAGATGAGGCATTGGGCAGAGTATTTGTTATTTATTCTGCTGTTGCTGTTGGTTAGTTTAAAAATAAATGTGAACCAAATAGCGTTCAAGTTCAGAGTGAGAACCAAATACCACATTAATTATGTTGCTTAAAACATTAACCAGCTTGCTCTGCGTGTCTCTGTGTGTGCAGGTCCAAGGGGAGATTCAGGAAATTGTGAAGACTGGCTTGTGGGTGGGAGACTGCTTCATCTACACTAGCTCTGTCAACAGGCTCAACTACTTTGTAGGAGGAGAGATCGTCACTATTGCTCATCTGGACAGGTGCAGTAGATGTTTCAGTCTTACTAGACTGTCACCAAGGGGACAGGGTACTTCAGATACCTATGAAGTGACATGGATCAGGGTGGCCAAACTCTTTGTTTTGCTAGGCCAAAATGCAGAATTTGCTGTAGGTCAAAAAGACAACAATACACAAATAAAGAAGGTACATGGGTTTTAGGTCAAGTTTTTAAAATGCATCCTGTATCATTTCATTATGTATTTTTAATACATCATATTTAGCGTAATTTGTTTGTTTTCTTATTGGGTAAGACTGGTGCTGTGAGGGCAGCTTTCTGAAAGGCCAAATCAAATACCTTTATTTTGGGTAGTTGTGTAGTTTAGTTTAGTCAGCACATCAGCCTGACCCTGACCTGGTCTTCTCAGGACCATGTACCTGCTGGGCTACATCCCTAAAGATGACCGACTCTACCTGGGAGACAAAGAGCTGAATATTGTCAGTTACTCGCTCCTGGTGTCTGTTTTGGAGTACCAGACGGCAGTGATGCGGCGAGACTTTGGAATGGCTGACAAAGTGCTTCCCACCATTCCAAAAGAGCAGAGGACCAGGGTAGCTCACTTCCTGGAGAAACAGGTGGGACTTCTCGAATGTGGGGGAACCTGAACAGTACCATTAATATGAATGTATAAATGTACATACATACATACATACATATACATGTACGCATGTGTGTTTGTGTGTGTATATAATTTATAAACTGGACAGATTGTACATATTACCATGTACACAGGTAAACTTGAGGATATTTTTAGATTAAATGTTTTATTCCTTATTTCAAGTAATTTGGGAACAAGAAGAAGCAGCTATTTAATGATAAAATTAAGTAATTACGGTAAATCGTTACCTGCCATGAGATTTTGCCACCACTTTTTTAAATGCGAGACATTTTGTAGCTGTTTTTGTTGTTCTGGACACTTTTTTTTATTTTTATTTTTTTTTAATAAACAGTATATATGAAGGTACAAATGTGTTTATTTATACAGCAGTGAAGTCTCAAAGGAATACTATCACCCTAGAATAATGTTTTACATGTATCTGCAACAGAATTAGTTTTGTTATTTATTTATTTATTTATTTATTTATTAATACTGATTCCTGGCTTTTGAATGGTGATTCTAGACTTGTGAGCAGAAGTGCATGAGATGTCATGTTGTAATGATATAGTACTTTAATCATTTACTTGTAAATCACTGAAGTTTTCACTAAGGATTGACTTCTTTTTATGGGGCCATCTCTCCACAGGGTTTCAAGCAGCAAGCACTTGCTGTATCCACTGACCCAGAGCACAGATTTGAGCTTGCACTGCAATTAGGAGAACTGAAGATTGCTTACCAGTTAGCAGTAGAAGCAGAGGTAAGATTCCTAGCAGGAATGTCCAAGTGAGAAATGCGTCATCTCTCAGTCAGATTGTTAATCTGACTTTTTTTTACTTGAATGCTACTCTGGATCGTGTTTACCCTGCAGTTCAGGAACTTGGCTATGCCGCGAGTTGGCTCTCAGCTGCTGGCTAATGCCAGTCTGCCCTTGAGCAAAGCACTTAACCCCCAAGTAGCCCCAGGGTAGTTTTGGTTAATGAAAGTCACTCGGGGTGAAATGATGTCTTGGCTGTCAGTACAAAGTCATATTTTATTTCTTCCTCTTTAGTCTGAGCAAAAGTGGAAGCAGTTGGCTGAGTTGGCCATCAGTAAGTGCCAGTTTGGGCTGGCCCAGGAGTGCCTCCATCATGCCCAGGACTATGGTGGTTTGCTGCTGCTGGCCACCGCCTCCGGTAATGCTACTATGGTGAGCAAATTGGCCGAAGGCGCCGAACGTGACGGCAAAAACAACGTGGCCTTCATGACTTACTTCCTGCAGGGCAAGTGAGTATATTGGGATTGTATATGGGTTCTTCTTAAACTTTTGCTCGTTTTCAAGGATTGACTCATATGACATCTATGTCCACACTTCGGTAATGTTTGGAAGGGCCAAATGTTTGGAAGCAACGCTCACTTTTTAAAAAAAAATTTCGCCCCCGAGTGATAATGTGGCTAGTATGTTTATTAACCTAGAACAAAAGCTTTGACTAAATGTCTGTAGCAGTCATACCCAACAAACTGACTGGTCCAACCAAGTAAACTGTGCAATATAAAATATTTTTGAAAATAATTCTTGCTTTTATACTTGTGGCTTGGTATTTGGCTGATATATAAAAAAGATACATTATGATAGGTTTTTGTTCCTGTATAAAGACTGTAAAGGAAAATGTTGACCAACATCATGTATGTATGTATATATAAGATGTTCGAATACGATGCTGCATATAGGCTTGTAAGGTTTCACATGCTAAATTTGGGGTGAACAATATGGCAAAAATATTATACCACAATACTTCATAACATATTCATGATACACATCACAATATTTCGGTCTTCTGAAATTTAATAAGTTGGAACAGACAAAATAGAATTGTCTTATACTAAAATACTACTGAAAACTATAATAAACCTAAAATGTTTCTTCTGTACAACCCACAAAACTACAATGATTTTTATTAAATGTTTCGCTGCACTGCAGTAAATCCCATTAAACAGTACTAATTATGCTGTCTTTGTAATAAATTGTGCAGTTGGTGTTTTACTGATATACGTAAATGCTCAGAAAAGTGTATTGTGACATCATTTATCCTGATAACGATAAAAACATTGTCATATTGCCCACCCCATGGCTAAATTAGTACATTTCAGCACGTTTGTGCCCTCAAAACCAGTTTGTCAAAATATGACATGCTTACGGTCATTTTTATGTTTAAAAAAATCTGTTTACATTTGGATTTTGATGCAAGTATGCATATATTCTTTTGCTCAGGTTGGACCATTGTCTGGAGCTCTTGATCCGGACCAATCGCCTGCCTGAGGCCGCTTTCTTGGCTCGCACATATTTACCTAGCCAAGTGTCCAGGTATGTCCTGTCATGGTCACAAATCTGGAAATTACTCTTCTTGCTCACACTATATACACATAGCTGAATGCTTTCCTTTTATTGCCTCTCTATCAAAATATCTGCATGAAATAGTGTTAATCATTGGGGTGTGTCCTTTGCATGTGATATGTAAATAGGGCCAAGTGCATGATAAATAATGAAAATAAGCACGCATCCTCTGCAGTAAAACAAACTGCACATTCTGCACATTTTAATGCACAGTTACTGTTTATTTGCTGATTTTAACTTTTTTGAAAAAATGAAACCTTAAATGTAGTCTGTGCAAAAGCTCATTTTGTTTTATACTTTTTTTCCAGTATGTTAAACTCAGCAAATAAATAGAAATTTAACAAAAAATATGCAGACAAATGTTGTGTTTAAGTGTATTTCCTGTAGAGGATGTGTGTTAACTTATTTTCACTTAGAAAATCAACAAAGTATGTTCTTTAATTGGGGTATTTAAACCTGGAGTTAAAAAACACTGTTGAATACCCATTTTTAAACCAAACAGTATTCAGATATCCCAAAGACAGGAGATTTTTTTTGTTATGAATCAAAAACTGAAAAAGTGAACGGTTTAGCATTCACTTATTGCTTGCAGCTAGCATAGCAGGTGATCTGTACCTGGTTGTTAGGGTTTATCATTGTATTTTTATGTGATTTAAGCACAATATCAGTTGGCCTACGGAATGATTGCTTAGAGTTGCACAACTTTCTGTTCACATTTGGCATCTTTTTGTTTGAAATATTTCCATATATTGAGTTTGTAAGAGCATATTGAAAAAAATAACTACACAGGTTCTGTTTTATTTAGTCCAAACTTCAAATTAATACTATCAAATTAGGTAAACAAATACTAAGATCCACCCCTAATAAAGAGTATGTGTGTTACTGACAGAGTGGTGAAGCTTTGGAGAGAGAGCCTGGCTAAAGTGAACCAGAAGGCAGCCGAGTCACTAGCCGACCCCACCGAGTACGAGAACCTGTTCCCTGGCCTGAAGGAGGCATTTGTGGCCGAGCACTACCTCCGTGAGACCTGCTTGGGCAAGACCAGACCAGCCACTGACTACCCGCTGGTCACGGTGAGGGCCTGTTTACACTTTCTCTGTCCTTCATCCTCACCATCTTGTATTCAGCTCCTACTTCTGCTTCTTTTCATTGAATGGCAGTAGATAAAATCGATTGGTGGATTATTAATTTATTAATTAAATTGAATTGGAAATTCGGGTTTTTCTATTTGCAAGTTAGCTTGTCACTGAAGTTATTCATTGTCATAAGAACCACCAGATGTCTGAACTGTGTATTCCACCAGAGGGCAGTGAAGAGCTGGCATCTTAAGTTTATCTTAGACTTTCTTATTTGTTTAGTCTAAAGAGGGAAGCATAGAAAGACTAAAGCCAGTTTAAAGAGGACCTATCATGCTTTTATTCCCCCTTTTACTGTGTTATAGCTTTATGTGCTTGTAAATAGTCCTCAAAGTCAAGAAGCCCCAAGTAAAGAGTGACTCTCTCCCACAGAACCCACTTTTCTCAGCTGCCTGAAACGCCTCATTGGAAAGCTAGCCCTTTACTTTTGTTAAAAGATGATGCAATTTTGTAACACAATCCTTATTGCCCACCTACTGGCAAGCTTGGCAAGCCCTCACACATGAGAGCTACAAAATAAAAAATTACCACCCTGAAACATTTAACTATAGTCTAGCTTATGAAGGTGGATCGGTCTACCAATTTGTTCTACCTGACTCTCAGGATCGGATTCCGGCTGACGACATTGTAAGAATAGCCACAGCGGAAGCCCCTCTGGCAGTTGACTAATCAGAACAGAGTGGTGGAACTGACAAATCAGAGCCCACTGGGCTTATCAGGAGGCGGGGCTTATTGACACAGGAGGTCTTACAGAGCGTTTCAGACAGAGGGTAAATAGAGATGTACAGTATGGAAAAAAAAAGTGTTTTTGAAACACTGAAGCAGGTAAATCTGTTCTGGTAGATCCCAAAAATAAAATTATGAACATTGAAAATGAGCTTAATAGTTTCCTTTTAAAGGATACAGCACAACGAACGAGAAGCAGAAGATCTCTTGAACTGGGTGCAGATAGCACAAAGGAACACAGATTAACATTAACAGAAGTTTAGATTTAATGAAGTAGAACCTTGAACATCATGTAGTGAATTTATCATGTGTGGTATCTGCTGTTTTCCAGCTAAAAGGCAAGAGTAGCTTGTCTCATATCGTTAGCAGAGACAATTAAAATGTGCCTGTTTATCTTAAAGACTTAGATCAGTACCTTTCTCTGTGTAGATTTCGGGCCTGCTGAGGAAATGTGATCTGGGTCTGGGTTTAATTTAGCACGAGAATAGTGAGACGTCGAGTGGCGTCACTGTCTCTGGTCTCCTGACGCGTCTGCTGTGCGGTGTGCCTTTGCAGGTCTCTCTCTAAAGAATCCATTAATAAGTTACAATCGATACATGCTGCATCACGACCAAAGAGAGCCCATATGACTCCCATCCTAAAGTCCCTCCATTGTTTACCCCATTAAGGTCACAATGGATTTGAAAATACTTTTATTAGTTTTTAAATCTCTTCATGGACCAGCCCCCGTATAGATGTAGTACATGTTTCAATTTAATGAATCAAACGGCTCCCTCTGTTCCTCTGGCACCAGTCTACACAGAATACCCAGAGCACGGACAAAGACATACAGAGAGGCAGCTTTTAGCATATATGGCCCTCGCCTTTTGAAGTAGCTTGCCAGAGGGCCGGAGGGCAGTAGAGCCTGGATATTTTCAAACGTAAAGACTTTTAAACAGTGCTCCTACTTGAAAGTCTTTCAATCTTATTCCAGTATTATTTTGATTTTATTTTTATTTGATGCTTCCTAATTCTTTCATTTCATTCTAGTTTTAATTTGTAGTTTTTATTAGATGTTTATTCGTTACTCTAATATTCTACCTTTTTTATATAGATTTGTTGTCTTAATTATTTGTTTTTCATTTCTGTTTTCTTTTTATCCTTTATGTGAAACTAATAATGCCTAACAAATTCAAATGGATGAATATGCCTTTCTCTTACACTGTGATCCCAGTGTTCATTGCTATTTGTCCGACTCTGTTTCTGCCCAGCCTAATGAGGAGCGGAATATTCTGGAGGAAGCCAGCGGTTATGAGCCCAAAGACGTTCCCCTCACCCCTGCACAGGTAGGTCTTTGCATATGTAGGCACACAACAATTAATATATATATATGTATTTATTTCTTTAAAAAACACCTTATTAAGATGCAGGTTGTATCGTTTTGTATTCTGTTGTGTCTGAAGCCTTTATTGCAGGCATCACACATTTTGCATGCAGATCTGGGAGTGAGAATAATTATCACAATTGATAATTGAAAATATTTTTACAGGCTAGCAGTTATAATTAGCTGTTTAGCTGAATGGCTAAGATTTTCATCCTCCAGCTGATAGAGCAGGGTTCAAGCCCAGCCCAGAGAACCACTCGTTGGGCTTCTATCACTATGTTTCTGCCAGTCTAATTGCATCATTTTTGTGATTCGTTGTGTAGTCCTAATCTGAAGCACTGGGACACTGATGCTGTACAGAAAATGCTTAGAATTCTCAGATGTTATGTCGCACTCTGGGAAACCTGCAGCCGAGACAGTGGGGGGTTTACTTCTAACATAGTTTAGTGGCTTATTAATGTCCTCTGGAGAATAACTGCTTATGTCTGTGTGCTCTTGCAGAAGGTTGAAGACACTCAGGAGGCTGCAGAAGAAGCTGGAGTATTGGCCTCAGTCATGGCTGCTGTTTCAGCACCTATCGCAGCTGCTGTAGCCAGTGTGGCTCCTACAGAGCCTGAACCTACTAAGAAGCCAGAGGTGGCCACTACAACAGCAAGCACGTTGCAAGATAAGGTGCAAATGCTTAGCTTTTGTGTTACAATGATCTACATTTCTTCCTTAATGTGCCTTACAAGTCTTGAGTTTATTAGCATTTCATATCTTCTTGGTCTTGTGTTTTGGTATTATACATGCATGAATTATTGTGTAAACATTATTCTTGTTTTTTTGCCACTTGTTTTTGAATATTTTTGTAAATTAGTGGTGTTAGAACTGCTTCATGACTATAGCTGCTGGAAGTTCTCTTAGTTAATGGATCTTTTGGCTCTGCCTGTAGACTCTGGAGGAACTAGAAGACGACTTGGACAACATGGAGCTGGACGACATCGACACCACAGACATCAACCTGGACGACGACTTCTTAGACGACTGAACCCCAAATACCGAAGCATTACGTTTTATTTAAGAGACCAAGCCCTTTTGTATTTGTTCATGTCGTTTGTCATGCAAGTCCTCCAGAACTGAAGATGTGGAAGGGAATGTATATCTAACGAGGACTGAGGTGAACATGGCTGTCGCCATGGATGAAAAGATATGGAGAATTTTTGTCTTGTTGAGTTCAAATTTTGTACTTCATGTAGGACCTTCAACTTTTTTTTTCCTTCTTTCTTTCTTTCTTTCTTTCCCCTTTCATCAAAGTGTATATTTACATTCATGTTTTTCTGACCATGTTAATCCAATCAATCTTAATAAATATCAATTTCAACTTCTGGTTGAGTTACATGCGAGTTTGGCATGTTTTGCAGTACATCCAGTGTGAAAGCATGATCTTTCAGAAGACTGGTTAAGCTCATATTGTACTCGACAGCAGTCATCGTAACTAGGGTCTTTTGGTGCCAAAAATCCCCCCTGTATGATGATTACTTTCAGTTAGTTTAAATAATGACAGTTTCATTTTAATAAAATAAAGGTTTTATTATGCCAATTATTTATTACCCCAATTATGACGCCACTGGTGCCAGTGAATATTAAGATGTTTATTCAAGCAGCAGTGCTCCTACTTTAAGTGAAGGCCTTTAATTTGTCCCACATCTTCACCAGGATCCCGGACAACTTTAATTCAGAGTTGTTAGTTTGCGCTTCACTCCTGGCAGTTTTTCAGACCTTCTTCTTTTTACCCCTACCCCTTGTTTTCGAGTGTCACCCTAATCCCTTGGAACTGAGTTACAAGGGGTAGTGGTTGAAATCTTACCCTACGAAATGGGACAAACCCTCGAAAAAAAACAAAAAAAAAAAACATTGCCTCGTTAACAGCTCCTAGCGGTGCTCTGTAGGTTCAGCAACCTTGCTGGTGGGCTTTAGTCACATTTAGGGCATCATATGCTTTCAAAGAGGGGGTATAAGACATTTATTATCGCCCACCGCTAATTCTTTGGTGATACAAAGCTGAAGTCAGCAATTCACCAGCTTTTTGTCTGAACATAAAAAATCACTAATAGCATGCTAAAGTCTCGGTAGCTAGATTGCTAATTTTCCCGTTCCACCTTAAATAGTCCAGCAGTTATAACACCTGAAGTGCCAGAATATAACTGCTGCACCATTTAAGGTGGAACAGGAAAATTAGCTCTCTAGCTACCGAGACATTAGCATGCTATTAGCGATTTCTTTTATACTTGTTAGGAAGAAAACGACCATAATACATTGAAACTACATTAAACTAAGAGAAAGGAATGGGTATCGTAATTTTTAATGGAGAGAATAGTCACATTTGTGGGTTTCTGTGGTCGCGCTATCTTCCCAGTTTTTCTTTTTTTTCCTCCTAACACTGTTTGGAGTGAGTCTCTGAAAAACCTCCATTTGGAGGGCCATGTAGCCCCAGCACTTCACCCTAACACTTCACCCTAACACTTCACCCTAACACTTCACCCTACCCCTCCGTCTCAACAAAAAATTAACCAGAGACATGAACGCACAAAACAGAGGGCTAAGGGCTAAGGGCAAGGGGTGAAATGGGATTGGGCCTTAGTGTCTTTCTTAGTGTCTTGATTGAGCAAGTGATTAGATTATCCCGAAGAACTAAAACACAGCGATAGAACAGGTTAGTGTTTAATTCTCCATATGTTGGGGCTTTGATCAAGGAGAAAACTGCACTTAGTCCCGACAAACCGCCCCCACCCCCCCACCCCCCCCAAAAAAAGGGAAAACAGCTCGTTTCATTCTAGGGCCAAATCACAGGGTTGCAAAAGGGGATGTAAAACTGCACCTGGCCATTTTTCACCCCGACCAAAGCCGCATATCTTCAGAAAACAATTTAAGATACTGAATAAATGCATGCTATGGCACTTTTCACACTTCCAGCCTGACAAAGTTGCACACACAGCTTTGCACTTAACAAACTTTTATTAGGTTTCAAAGATCAAGAACGATTTGAACACATATCAAGCTGATTTCACCTCAGTACAGCGTCACATTTGGGAGAAAAAAAAAGACAGAACATGTCCAGAAGCAACAGGTTGAACTACTTTGCAATTAAAGCAAACATTGGAAACCGAGGCTCACCTTCTCTGTTGATGTTTCACATCTGTGCAGATGCTGTTAAGAAGCCACTTTCCCTTTTTTTCACAGTGGGTACAGCAGAAAGCCACTAAAAGTGTTGTGGTTTTTTTTGTAATCGCGGTTCTCAAAGGCACTCGATTCCTTCTTTATTACAACGTAGACTGTGTCTCCTTGGTTGAGTTGCAGTGTGATTGATTTGGAAGCAGCCACAAATCTCCCTCCTCCGCTACCGTAGATGGTGGTCACACGCTTCTTGTTCATATGCAGTTCTTGCTTCAGGTCTGTTTGCGTCCATGTGGCTCCAGAGAAGCTGAAGGAGTACAGTCCTCCAACTGGAGCTGTAAATATGCCTGTGGAAATGGAGAACACACTTAGGCACAGCTACGTAGGTTTTCCTCAACTTTTCTTTCATTTAAAACAAAAAAAAACAACCTGTTTGAGGATCGTAGGCATTGCCAACGTTAGTGATGACTGTTCCGTAGACAATTACAGCATCAGTGTTGGAGGCATCCAGGCTTTCATCAAGGAAGGCTGTGAAACCAACTACGGTTGGTATTGTACGATTTACTGCAAATCAGAGAACAATGTAAGTGCACCTTCCATGAACACGTAAAACTTCTTGGTCCCACTTTATATTAAGTGTCTAATAACTGTGTAGTTACACATGAATAACATGCAACAACACTGTAACTACTGATGATTTGGATAATGTTACAGATGGATTACAGAACTGTAATTATTAGTTATCAACTTCAGTTTTGCCTTATGTAATTACACAACCTGAGAGAGAATAGGCTGTTACAACTGTTAAGATACACCTGTGTAATTACATAAGGTGTACGTTTGTCATCCATCTATACTCATTAGTAGTTACTTTGTTGTTGCATAAGCTGTTTGCATGTAACTACACAGTTATTAGAGACACTTAATATCGAGTGGGACCAAATAAACTGCTGTTCCAGTCTGATTACAAATGTAATTATATTTGTGTTATTACCCTTGTGTAATTACGTGTGAGAGCATAGGCTATTAAGATACACTTGTGTAATTACATAAGGTGTACGTCTGTAACAGTGACTAATTCATTCATAGTTACATTGTCATTGCATATGTTGTTCACATGTAACTACACAGTTATTTGAGACAATATAAAGTGAGACTAAATTCTTTGAAGTCGCTGCATGTTAGTTTATCTCACCTGAGAGTGCCTGAAGAGGTTCCGCCATCTCTGATCGGTAGCTTCAGCAGCGGTTCCCTCTGATTTCTGTCCCCCTTTTATACACCCCTCTGATGGCCCAAATCCACATGGAGCAAGTACATCACTCATAATTCTGTACCTAAAGGCGTTTCCCGCTTGCGGTGAGGAGGAGGAGGAGGGTGCCGTTTCCACTCCGAACATCTTATGCAATCAGGGGCGTGGAGAGGTAAGACCAGGGAGGATACGTAAAGCCAAGAACTGTCCTGACAAAGTACTTCTGGGAATGAGTCACGTGGTTTTGGTGAGCAGGAGGGGGGACTCAGTACCCCTTAAGCAGACAACATACAGGGACTAATGCAAGGAAAAAACCTCTTTGTCTGCAATGTGTTTCGGGTTAGGAGAAGGTATGGAGGGAAGGGGGGTTACTGAAATGAAGAAATTGATTAAATGTGAACAGGTTTATTAACAAAACTGGAACAAATAATAAGAAACTATCCGCCTATCTGGTCATCTCTTGTTCCTCTGTTGGTCTTTAAACAACGTCGTTATCGTTATTTCATGAACTTTTTGCTGTTTAATAATGAACATAACTCAGCACTGTTTAAAGCAGAAACCTTTGCTGTGTAAGTACTTTTTGGTCACCAAAGTACCCTTGTGAGTCTTATTGCGCACCAAGCAAATGGCAACCCTCTTCCCATACTGGGAGCTGAATCTCCAACAGCTCCTTAGTGCACTACGGAGTTTAAATACTGGCTCCTGCACCCCAACAGTGCAAAATATAGCTACCAATAGCCATTTGGGATTCAACCACATCTATCTTTATTCCCTTGCCAACACGTATCCAGTGAAATGGTACGTGGATCATTCTCCTGAACTGGTTCAATGTCAGAATTCGAAAAACATTTCGGTCTTTTAACTAGCTTGGACTTCGAGCGACCCTGTACCTTAATTATGTTTATTTCATTAAAACAAATGATTGAACATTCCATTTTGCAGCATATGTTTCTGTAGTGGTTTCGTTTCGGTGGTGACAATTTTAGGAAATTTTAAGCAGAACTCAAAAACGCTTGCCAGTACATGACTAGCAAACACAGCTTTGAACAGCTGGACGCACATAAAATTAATAGTAATAATAATAATAATAATAATAATATATTTTTATTGAAACACTAACATTTATTTAATTGCAGAAAATATGAAAATAGGTTTCGGTAGTGGCTATTCTTAATGTTACACACTGTTTTTCAGACTTTAGGACACACTTCAAAACAATGGGATCTAGCTGCTCACCATGTGGCCAAGAGGGACAGGGATGCAGTCTCACTTCCTGCTCTAAAATGTAGGGATGTGGCTAAAAAGAGGCTTCGCCTATCGACTCACTAAGCAATTTTGCCCATTCATCATGAAATTTTGACACAATATAAAGGACAAAAGGTATTTTCAACTTATGTAAAAAACTGGAAAACAAAAATGGAGATATGAGTTGTTCTTCCGACAGCATATATATATATATATATATATATATATATATATAGTGTATATATATATATATATATATATATATATATATATATACACCATGGGTATGGTGTTATGTTGTAATGTAATGTTAATGTAAGTTAAAAAGACCTTGGTCTCATCACACCATAACACATTGTTCCACATAGTTTTGGGAGGGAAAAGTCTGCTGGGCTTCGATATTTGTTTTTTCACATGAAAAGCCTTCCGTCATGCAACCCTAATTCCACACCCAGACATAAGAAGAATACGAGAGATTGTTGAGACATGTAAGGAGCAACCAGAACTTGTCAGGAATTCCTACGTCTCATTTCGTGTTCCCGTAGGCCTCTTAGCAGACTGACCTTTTTTCTTTTTGTCTTCTCATCAATTTTGGAGGGATGCCCTGTTCTTGACATTTCTGGGAATTTAAGGACCTGCACCCCTCCCGTTAAATTTGAAGTGTCCACGACATGTGTGGGAATTTCTCGGTCTCTTGTGTACACTTCCAACCATGCATTGTTTTTGAGATTTCTGGTTACAGTACACAGCCTGTTATGGATAACGATGTCTGGGCAGGTCTGGAAGTTGATTTTGACCTTAAAACTATGCACAAGTACAAACTGTGATTCATTAACAGGGCATTTATGTTTCTATTACAGTTATTCTGAAACAAGAACACAAATGCTTCCTCTCAAATAAAAAGAAATCATTGTATAAACATGATGCCAAACATTTCCTTTTAGTCAAACAGGGTCAGTATATGAATGCTTTACTGCAACATTTAAGTAATATATTATGTAAGAAAAAAATCTGTTGAAACAGTTCAAAATAATAGATTTTTTGACATTAATATTTCTTTCCCTGGAAGATACCCAGAGATCTCCAAAGTCAACCAAAATTACAAGAGGTTATATATTCCCCAAGTAGGCTCTTACATTTCATTGGTTGACAGAGAACAAAGGAGTTAATAATAATTATCATAATATTTGCTTACACTTAATTGTAATGAGAATAAACAAGAGTGTTAACATATATGCATAATTAACAACAAGGAAGGAAACTCATATGGTCAGCAGAGTCTTTTCACATCTGGTTTCTTCAAGATGAGCTAGCCTAACCTCAAGGCCACTTAAACAATGATTCATTGAGGCGTCTATCAGCTAGCTAGACCTCAGCTGAGGAAAACAGGAAATAAGACCTAGACATAGAGTAATATGCATGGCATATCAAGCATACATATATCATGAGGATACAAGTAGTGTGACTGGCTATACGAATTTCATGCATCATAAGGGAAATTACTGGTTAATCACAGGTGAAATCTGTTGCCAAGCTGCTATCAAGTTGCTAAGCTTATATAAATGAAATCAGTTAACTAACTTAGCTAGCTAAGGTTAGTGGAGGGATCCATTCACTCGCACTGGTGCTACATGTTTAGCTCCTCTAGTGGCTGTGGTTTCCCCATGGAGGACAAAGCATCAACAGCACAATGGGCAGTGGCAGTGAGTGCATAGGAGGTTTGCTCAATGTTGAAAGTGATGCATGAGCTGTGGCAGCAGAGCGGGGTGGGCAACGACATTACTGCAGCATTACAGCAACATTTTCATGGCTATGGAGAAGGACAGTACACGGACCGACTTGGTGCAGCACCCCAATTCATCTCTGGCTTCCACTGGCAAAGAGAGAAGCCACCAGAAAATAAGTGAGATGGTGGCAGTGGGTAGAGTAGCTCTTGGTTGGTGCCAGTGGTCCTAGCAAAGTTAACTCTGTCACCACTCATATCCACTACCATGGATCAAGGACGCCTTGGATCATGTTACCGGCTCCAGGTGGTTCAGCTCGTTAGCAGGTGGCACTCGCTCCAGATGCCAAAGAGAAGACAGTGATCACACTGGGCACCAGGCTATGGCAGATTATGGTAATGGCCACTGGCCACACTTGAGTAAGTAAAGGAGTGAGTGCTTGCTAGCAGCCCCAAGAACCGGTGCATCATCTATCATGAGAACATACTGGTTCAGGTACCCAGGTTCTCGTGCACCAATGGAAAGGGTTGCTGTGGATGTCCTGGGCCCTTTTCCTACCACTCCCACCAGGAACTGCTACATGTTAATGGCCATGGATTATTTCACAAATGATCTAAGGTGTATGCAGTCCCAGATCAGAATGCGGCCGTGATGGCACAGCAGCTGGTGGAGGATTTCTTCTGTCAGTTCAGATTATCAGAGGAGCTCCACAGCAACCAGGGATGCAACCTTGAGGTGCTGGTCATGGCCGAGGTCAGTAGTCAACTCGGCATTCGTAAGAGTTGGACTATGCCACTCCACCCCCAGAGCAACCTGGAGTGTCAAACATGCACTATTCAGCTTGCCATCATCACAGCCCAGCACCAGAGTGATTGGGACTGACATCTACCCCTGGTCCTGCTGCCATTCTGCTCCACTGTGCAGGAATTAGCCGGGTTCACCCCAGCTCTTTGATGTTCGGCCGTAAGCTCAGGACATTCACAGAGCCAGTTTTCGGCTACCCGCCGGAGTCGGTGAGGGGCAGCGCACCTAGAGCAGAGTATGCTGAGTAGCTTTGCCAGTGTCTCCATGTTGTGCACCACCTTGCTATGACCCACCAGGGCAAGACTCATGCTGCTAAGGGCAGCCCCTTTTGTCTGGGGCTTGGATGTGGCTGTACAACTCGCACCACAGGAAGGGACACTGTCCCAAGCTCCAGTTGCGGCACTCTGTCAGAACTTTTGTCCCTTTCTGATCCCACTATGACCTCAGTGGATCTGTTTGCCCTCCCCAGAGATCCGGAGAATGTGTTAGAACAAACAACACAGAAGCATCAATGTTCAGGCACACAATCCATTTATAATTAGTTAGAAGGGCCTCTTTATACATGGGTGGTTATAAAAGCATACATGATTGACAGTTGCAAATGTAACATACAATGTTTCCAGAATAGAAAACAGTTAAATCAGGCTGCTACAGAAACAGGAAGTTGCAGCTAAGCGTGGTGCAGCTAACAGGAAATGTGCAGATACATTTTAAGACTTAGCAGCTAGAGCAGGGGTCAGCAACCCAAATGTTAAGAGCCATTTTGTTCTTTCAACAAAAACCAAACGACCTTGGAAGCAACATTTTATGTCCATTTTATTGAAGTAAAGTTGTAAAACCTCGGCTGTAAATATGTCTATTGGTACGTGCTAATGTCCCAGTATAGACTAAAAATATAAACGAAAACACAGACTTACTTTGCTGTGCTTGAAGCTTTAGTTCAGCTATAGCCGCTTTTCTCACATCTCCGGCAGGAAACTTTTCCTTAAAAGAAGAATAGTTTGTTATGACCAACGTGATCAATATAATCTCACAACTACTAGTTTACAACTTGCTACACTCAATATAATCAGAGACAGTTACATTTCCAACTTTATTTGAGTTTACTGTGAATGTGTAATGAGTTTGTGTATTAAATAAGTCAAAACGGAACAGCTATCTGTTTTGTCTTCAAAGGAGCTAAAATCAAGCAGCAGTAGCTTAACCAGTCTAAACACTCATGTTTACAGTAACATGTATACAGTAGCAGAGTACAACTGGATATTGTGTGTTGGCTTTAAAAATGCAAAAAAAAAAAAAATTGTTAAAACATTTGGGTTAAAAAAAACCCAAAGACATGGGCCAATCTGTTGGCAAGGTCCAATAATATAGGTTAGACTTATTGGCTCTATTCAATTTCAGTGTATCACTTCAAACTAAGAAATATATAACGTTTGAATTTTAGTACACTGTAGGCTGTAGTGTCATTACATCATTAAAGTAATGTTTATATGTCATATATTGTATAGTGCCACTTGGTAAATGTGCCATATGGCCTGTGCTTATGAAAAGAGGTTTGCCAGAACATGCACCTATGCCCGTTCCAATTATTACATACCCGCCTAGTCGCAATTTGAGATTACTACAATTATCACTGTACACTTAAATTTCACAATAATATTAAGTTACAATGAACAAAACGTAAACTGAGTGGTGGAAAGAGACAAAAGAATGTAAATAAAAGAAAAAAGTAAATGCATTTGTTGAGATTTCATGGGGCTTATGAAAATTATGACATTGGTGGAGGATCATACTTATTATTTAGCACAAGAAAAAGCCATGGTGGTTGAATCCTCATCGTCAAAGATGCAAAAACATAAGGAAGCAAAACGAAATTGGGATAGGTGACGGTAAAAAACCTGCCGGCCACTGTAGGTTCTACTACACGCTTGGAAAGGGAAGGGTGAGGGAGGGGTATTCAGTTGGTTGCAGTCTGCAACCTCAGCACTATATGCTACAAAAGTGGAGCTCATGGGTCAAAGTTGACCTGCAAGGCCTTTTTGGCCTACCAGAAAGTTGCCTAATCTTCCAGTGAGAGAACATGTATTTTTATGCAACTTCACATTTTTATTCTCTATATTTTATTTTCTTTTAAACTCTTAATTTTGACATATTTCGCCCTTGACAGTTCAATGACATTACAGGTGTCATTTCAACAAAGATGTAACAGCTTAAATGTATCTAACAGTGCATAACTGGTGGTACATAGACATGATTTTAAAGTCGAGGCAGTGTGTCTTGTATGCAAAGAACCAACTGGAGCATCTAAAAAGTACAGTTTCTCAATGTACACTGGCATAGTAGCTCTCATGAAGGTCATTTTAAAGATCTCTTCCTTTCTACAAACTTCACAGTACAAGGCCTGAGCACATTTACCATCCTCTCCAAGAGGTGGTGCTAAGTTTCCTCATCAGCCTCACAAGCAGCCACCATAAAAGCCCAGAGAAAGAGCAATCATGCAGTTTCAGTACTTAGTCCTCGAGTTGGAAGACTGAGCACACTAAGCTGGTCTGTAGGTGACAAGTAAATACTGCAGTCCCACCTACAGAAGAGATAACACTGAATTAGCCTAATAGCTGATCTGTCTCCTGCTTTTTGGGTTGTTTTGTGAAAGTGTGGGAGAATGGCTGATAAGACAAGACAGTCATTTCCTCTTGAAGACTCCATCTGTGCACTTTGTGAGGATTATTTAACCGTCCCTGTGATTCTAAGATGCTGCCACAGATTGTGTAAAAGCTGCCTACACAGTTACTGGGAGTTAACAGGGTCCCTCAGATGCCCTGTTTGTTTGAGAGAACCATCATGTGAAGTGCTCTTACGCAGCTTGGGTTCCACGCCTGTTTCAAAGGGTGCAAAGGCTGCCAGCTTTAACCTGCTTGTGGTGAAGAATACAGGAAGTGAACTGGTGAGTTTATAATGTTGATATGTGAACAGATTACTGTGGTAAGTTTTTTTGTAATTGTCATTTTGTTCTAATAAACGTGTCTAAGGTTTACTTAACTAGTCTTAAAGAAGTTTATTTCCTTTTTGTTTGTCAGAGAAAATGCAAAGCACATGAGCTTCTATACATTCATAAAAAAGATGGTTCTTTAAGGGTTCTTTAGTAATGGCATGAACCATGAGTTCTATATAGAACCATTTGCATGCTTAAATGACACTTTGCATGGGGATATGGTTCTTCAGATTGATGATGATGTTGGTGATGTTCATGATTCAGTGTAGAACCTTTTTTGCAAATGCTTCTGAACGCTTGTAACAATAGAAGAATCCTTTTTGGTGCTATATAAACAATTTTCAGATTTATGGAGAGTGTGTAGTAAAGGTTTTATATAGAACCTTTGTGAAAATGGTTCTATATAGCACCTAAAAGGGTTCTGCTGTTGTTACGATGTCAAGCTTGTAACAACACTCAAAAAACCCTTTGCATGATTAAAGAGTTCTTTCCATCGTTAAATCGTTCTTGAGATTGATGGAGAGTGTGTCGTACATGGTTCTATATAGAACCTTTTTGAAAATGGTTCTGTATAGCACCAAAAAGGATTCTGTTGTATGCCAAGTTTGTAACAACAGAAGAACCCTTTTTGGTCCTACATACACTCTTAAAAATGATGGTTCTTCAAGAGTTCTTTAGTAAAGAAAAGAGTTCTGTATAGAACCCTGAACACTCAAAGAACCCTTTGCATGATTAAAGCGTTCTTTGCATTGTTCAGTCTTTTTTGAGATTGATGAAGAAGGTGCTGTACATTATTTTAACTAAGGCACTTCAACTTAAGACTCTAACACTCTACCACCCTACCGGAAGTACTCTGACCACATGTCACAGTGTGAGGGAGCGCTATTTCAGAGTAGATTTGTTACACATCTAGAGTGGATTTGTTCTTTTTTCCCCCACTCATATTCTGTTCAGCAATACCTGCTGGAATCGGTGCTGTTTCTAGTGTTTATAACTGACAAGCTTTTACTTAGTCAAGATTCAGAACAAGCACATCACTTTGCTTGACGAATTTGTTGATACCAAAAGAGCAATGATAGAAGGTAAGAAGTCATAATGCTTGTCTGTTGTACAGCTCAAGTTCACAAATTTGGGGGCATGTGTTTACTTTTGGAGGATTTTATGAGCAATCGGGAGCTTTGAAGCACTGTTAAGATTAAGGTTCTGAGTGCGAGCAGTAGTCCAGTTTATTATTTTTTTGTTTTATTTAAAAATGCTTTGGATAACCTCCTTAATCACACTAATGTATTTGCTTTCACCTGTATTCTACTGCGAAGTGAAGATCCAGTAGTATGTCTAAGGCAGGGCTGGCCAAAGTAGGACCCTCGGTTAATGTTGGCCTGCAAGGACTTGGAGCATAATTGGTGATACGTGGGCATAAGGAGATTCCTTTTTAAAAATTCCTTTTAATTTACAAGGAATTTAATTTAAGGTTTAAAGACAAGGCAGTGTGTCTTGTATGTAAAGAAACCACTGGAGCATGTAAAACATACAGTTTCTCAATGCACACTGACATTTTGTGAAAACATAGAGGTAGCAAGTGTTTAGCTTTTGTCTTTTTGGTCTGCTACAAACATGTTTAGGCCACCACCTAAAGCTTGTGGATTATGTACTCTTGCAAGCAGTAGATGAGCAGTAATAGGCAGCATGGGAAATTAAAGCAGAACAAAGCATCAAGCAGGTAAAGCATGACCAGTTTACCACTAAATTGTTCCATGTGACTGCTTCATAGTGGTGGTTTTGATCTCGGCAGGCACAACCAAAGATGGGGCTTCCAAGAGCTGTGAGCACTGTGGCATCAGCTGGAAGTGAGAGGAGTGGCACTCTAAACCAGATGTGGATGAAGATCAAATATGGACCAATAGATCAGAAGATATCAGCTACTTTTGACTTGGAAGAAACCATCACATATGGGTTTAAACCAGAGGTAAGAATAAAGGTACCAAAGGACATAAAGGGATAAGCAAAATGTTGACCTGTAGTATATAATAGTTGGGATACCATAATTCACCCAGATTATGACTAACAGCTCTTTCCATGTTTTTAGATTGAGCAGTCCAGGAGAAACAAGTAAGTATGATGTTTATTATCCCCTTCTGTTTAAATTTGCTCATTCAGTAATATGCAAGTCAGGGACCACACTTTATTTATTTAATTTCCAGTCGAAGAGGCCGCTAAGTACAAGCGATTACAACCCCCATTCCAAAAAGGTTGGGACGCTGTGTAAAATGTAAAAAAAATGTAAATAAAAACAGAATGCAGTGATTTTGCAAATCTAATAGACCCATATTTTATTCACAATAGAACACAGAACACATATCAGATGTTGAAAGTGAGACATTTTACCATTTCATCAAAAACATTAACTCATTTGGAACTTGATGGCAGCAACGCATCTCAAAAAAGTTGGGACAGGGGCAACAAAAGTCTGGAAAAGTAAGTGGTACTAACAAAAAACAGCTGGAGGAACTAACTCACACGACTGGGTGCACAAAGAGCATTTTAGAGAGGCAGAGTCTCTCAGAAGCAAAGATGGGCAGAGGTTCACCATTCTGCGAAAAAAACTGCCTCTCAAAATTGGGGAGCAATTTCAGAAAAATGTTCCTCAACATAAAATTGCGAAGACTTTGGATATCCCACCATCTACAGTACATAATATCATCAAAAGATTCAGAGAATCTGGAGAAATCCCTGTACGCAAGGGACAGTCATTACTGGATGCTTGTGATCTTTGGGCCCTCAGGCAGAGCTGCAGTAAAAACATGATTCTGTACTGGAAATCACTGCTTGGGCTCAGGAACAGTTCCAGGAATCATTGTCTGTGAATAAAGTTTGGCTTGCAATCTACAAATGCAAGTTAAAGCTGTATCTTGCAAAGAAGAAGCCATGTGTCAACATGATCCGGAAACGCTGCCGTCTTCTCGGGGCCAAAGCTCATTTAAAATGGACTGAAGCAAAATGGAAAATTGTTCTGTGGTCAGTTTAATCAAAATTTGAAATTTCTTTTTGGAAAACACGGACACCATGTCCTGCGGACTCAAGAGGAGAAGGACCATCCAGCTTGTTATCAGCGCACAGTTCAAAAGCATCTCTGATGGTATGGGGTTGCATTAGTGCCTATGGCTTGGGTAGCTTACACATCTGGAAAGGCTCTATCAATGCTGAACAGTATATAGAGGTTTTAGAACAACATATGCTCCCATCCAGGCAATGTCTATTTCAGGGATGGCCTTGCATATTTCAGCAAGACAATGTTAAACCACATACTGCAACCATCACAACAGCATGGATTTGCAGAAGAAGAGTCCAGGTGCTGAACTGGCCTGCAGTCCAGACCTTTCAACAATAGAAAACAATTGCTGCATCATAAAACGAAAAATATGGCAAAGAAGACCCAGGACTGTTGAGCAGCTAGAATCCTACATCAGACAAGAATAGGGCAACGTTCCTCTCCTAACATTCCAGCAATTGGTCTCCTCACTTCCCAGACATTTACAGACTGTTGTTAAAAGAAGAGGGGATACTACACAATGGTAGACATGGCTCTGTCCCATCAAGTTCTAAATGTTCCAACATCTGATACGTGTTCTATGTTCTATTGTGAATAAAATAGGTTTATGAGATATGAAAATCATTGCATTCTTTTTTTATTTACATTTATTTACATTTTACATAGCGTCCCAACTTTTTTGGAATTGGGGTTGTATTTTAAGGTATTATTTTATTAAAATCAGACTCCTAACAACTGTACAAGACTTGGTAGACCATACAAATTGTCACCATACATTAACAGGACTTGAGTCTGAAAGGATGCGTAGCTGTCAAGATGTCATTAGAGAGAAAAAATACAAAAGAATAAAAATTGGTCTTCTCAGAACAATGCAATGACCACCCCAGAGTCCACATCTCTACATCACTAAATGTGTTCTGCATTATTTGGATTGTGAGAAACAGAAAATGCAACCAATGTCTAAGACAGAACTTTTCAGCTGTGGAAAAATATCCCTCAGATTTCTTTGAAAACCTGAAAGCAATTCTCCTGAAAAGAACGGAAGATATAATTAAGATAAAATGTGGACAAAAAAACTGAAAACTGAGTTTTCTGCTTTTGTTCCTGATGCTGAAAAATGAATAATGTGTAATAATTTGTGCTGGAACATAAGTAAATTAAGGGTGGACTTTTTGCACAGTACTGTACATATAAAGCAGATACAATCTACGCACAACTAGCTAAAACCCATGTTTTTAACACTAACATTTATTCTCCACTTTTGTAGATTAAAGGATGATGAGCAGCTTGTAAATTCTGAACTTTGTTGCCGCAACCGAAAACCAGATTCCACTGATCAGCTGACATCAAGCAAAGTTGCAATGAGTCCGAAAATAGCACAAACTAGCCTAAATACCCAGTCTCCTGTTACGGGGTTGAGGTCCAACCTGTGTACTGAGTGTGGCAAGAGTTTCAAGAGCAAATCTGCCCTGAAAGCCCACCGGAAATCCCACTCCCTACGGCGGCCGCATCAGTGCCCCACCTGTGAAAGACAATATGCTAGCAAGCATGAGCTTGCATTGCATATGCGGCTACATAAGGATGAGAAGCTGTTCCACTGCTCGTACTGCAAGAAGAAGTTCATCAGGAAGAGTGGCCTGGAGACCCACGAAAGGAGCCACACCGGAGAGAAGCCTTTCACCTGTTCCCTTTGTGGGAAAAGCTTCAGTCAGAGGAACACTCTTAAATTGCACCTGCAGAGGCATGAGGGTGTGAAGCCGCACCAGTGTGACCACTGCGGAAAGCTCTTTGTCACGGCAGCGTCCTTGAGGGATCATAGGTTAACGCATACGGAAGAGAAGCCCTTTCCTTGCCCTCAGTGCGACAAGAGGTTCGGCCGGAAGAATGACCTGAATATTCATTTGCACAGTCACTCGGGACAGTTGCCCTTCGGCTGCACAGTGTGTGGGAAGCGCTTTCTGAGGAAGCCGAGCCTCACCATGCATGAGCTCATTCACAAAGAGGACCGTCCCTTCCAGTGCCTGCTCTGTGATAGCAGTTTCCGGAGAGGCTCCCACCTCGATGCGCACATTAAGACCCACTCTACCGACATGCCGTACAAATGCTCGTATTGTGGCAAATCCTTCAAGCAACCCTATAGTGTCGTACTTCATGAGCGCATTCATACGGGAGAGAAACCCTACAGTTGTGACCAGTGTGGGAAGCGTTTCATATCGTCGGGTGATCTGTCGAAACACCGGCGTGTCCACGTGGCGACGAAAGAGTACAAGTGCTCTCATTGCGAGAAGAGCTTTCGTTACGGAGCCTCCCTGACGATCCACCTGAGGACACACACAAACGAGAGACCTTACGAATGCCGGCAGTGCGGTAAAACCTTCGCAGCTTCATCGCGTCTGCGGTCCCATGAAGCAGTGCACAACAATGAGCGACGCCACCGTTGCTCAGAATGCGGCCAGGGTTTCAACAACCACAGCACCCTGAGAAACCACCGGATGACCCATGGCCCCAGAACGCAGTTTACTTGCACCACCTGCGGGAAGAACTTCTCTCGCAAGGACACCTTCACAGAGCACCAAGCGATTCATTCAGGCACCAAAGTCTTCGACTGCCCCGAGTGCGGGAAGAGCCTGAGCTGCTCCAGCAGTTTTCGGCTACACGTGCAGAGTCACACTCAGAAGACGATGTACCCCTGCATTGATTGTGACAAGAGTTTCAGCAGCAAGTCTTACCTAATGAAACACCAGCAGAAGGTGCATGCTACATAGACACCATATGCTTGTTCAAAGTGCGGAGAGAGTTTTAACTCCCCTGGGAAATTGGCTACGCATGAGCTGAAACATTCAAAAAAGAAGGAACATGTGTGCTCGCAGTGTGGGAAGGCTTTTAGACATCAGTGCCAGGAATGTGGGAGACCATTTACAAGGAAGGACAGCCTGAGGTGTCATCTAAAGACTCAAGAAGTGAAAAACTGAGCAAGTTTTGCTGACAATTCTAAATCTTTCTTGAAGTTTTTATTGCCCATTTAAGATGACAACCAGTTTTTACACTTGTGCACATTTCAATTCACAGTTCTTGTTTATTTGCTGAATTTAACATATTGCAAAAAGTTATATTTTATTTTTTATTTTCTTTCCAATATGTTGAACTTGTGTCTTCTTTGTAGATGATGTGTTAACTTATTTTCAAATAGAAACAATATTAACACCAGTGCACTCCCCACCCCAGAGGTTTCGGTTTATACTTTTTAGGGCGGGTGTCGGCAACCCAAAAGTGAAGAAGAGCCATTTTGTCCTTTCAACAAAAATTAAACCACCTTGGAACCCACAACATTTTATGCCACTTTATTGAAGTAACGTTTTACCATTTTGGCTGAAAATATGTATTAATATGTGCTAATGTCCTAGTATAGGCAAAAAAATATAATATAAATGAAAACACAGATTTACTTTACTCTGCTTTAGCTCAGCTATAGCTGCTTTTCTTGCATCTCCGGCAGGAAACTTTTCCAAAAGTCAAATAGTTTTTTGTAAAATCTCTCTCATTTGATTTTACAAGGCTGAAGTCATTTTTTTTTATTCGCCAGATTCTTGTTATAATTTTTCTGTTCCACCTTAAACGCAGAATGCAACTGCTGTGCCATTTAAGGTGGAATGGGAAAATTCAAACATGAAGCTGGCAAACGGGAAGCTGACACTTTCTTGTTGCAGATTAAACATATCAGGAAACCAGCTGGAGTGATTATAAATGCAAATACGTCCAGTTGTCTCCAAATTATCGATGTTTATCTTAAATCTTTCTCTTTGCCTTTTCGTTAGCTACTAGCTAGACAAGATTGTTGTCTGCATTGCTATGGTGACCAGAAGTCTGCACACCAACCTTCAGGGTTAAAGGTTGGTGATTAGGTTGGTAATTAGCAGTTATAGTTATACAGTTACTCCAGCGCTGCAGACCATTTATTGTTAAAACTGTGTCAAACGATCATCAGAGCTTTATTTTACTGTAAAGGAGGATTATTTTATTTTTGCCAAAAATCTAAATCTGCTGTGGAGCCACAACAGAGCAGTTAAAAAGCCACGTATTGCCAACCTGTTATAAGGTTTAAGTACATATAACAGACAACTTGTTATAAAACAAAGGGGAATTTCACCATCTTTTAAACAATTAAATGGTTAAAATGTAAACAAACATCTCTATAAAACAGAAATTTGTATTTTGGGTTGCTCTTTTTTGGGGGGTTGTTGCCAAAGTTGTGCTTTTCCCTGTTCAGTTTTTGATTAATAAATTGTGTATTCCCCAGCTCTGCTTGTGTTTCTTGGAGTGCAGTGATGTTTGTGTGACACTAGATGGCGATGTGAATGCTTAAAAAATACAGGCGTATGCAAAAGTTTGGGTGCCCCTGCTCAAATTCCATGTGCTGTTGGTCTTCTAAGTGAAAATAACATATCCTCTACATAGAAAACACTTCAGCACATTTTAATGCACGATTCCTGCTTATTTACTGAATCTAACATTTTGAAGGGAAAAAAAAACTTTTATTTTTATTTATTTTTTATTTTTATGTTTTATTTTTTTCCAGTATGTTCAACAAATGCATAGGAACTATGCTCTAATCTAACATTTGCAGAAAAATGCCCTCTTAAGTTTGTTCCCTGTAGAGGAGGTTAACTTTTCACTTTGAAAATCAACAAAACAGTTTGCCACCCAAACATTTGCATATGACTCCTTTGAATACTCATTTTAATACTTTTTCCCAGGAGTATTTTACTCAGGGGCCGGATCCTGTTATTACAGCCTCAGTCATAACTGGCTGCTCCAGTGATTCTCGATTCTCTGGTCATTTATATTTATTACGTGTGGTTTGTTAACATGCAAGTTTTCATATTGCACTGAATTTTTTATGTGTTTTAGTACATTTTTAAATAATTTCCTTCAGTTCTGTGTTCTTTTTTTTTTTTTCAAATACTATACATTTTATATTAGTACTAGTGTGTGTGTGTATGTGTGCGGGTGCGTGTGTGTGTGTGTGTGTGTGTATATATATATATATATATATGTAATTTAATATAGTATTGCTTGTTGTTCATTTCTGTTTCAGATTAACTAAAAAAATAAATGAAGGTTTTAGTTAAAGAAAAGGTGAATTACTTTAATTCAAACAGTATTTTTTGCTATTATTATTGTTGTTGTTTTATTATTTTTGTTATTTTTATTATCATTAGCAGCAGCTCTGAGAGCATGTGAATGTCATTGATATGAGCTTTGATTAACAGTACATTATTACTGTTACTGTGTCGATAAAGAAGACGCGGACAACATAGCATAGCGAATGCTCTTTTATTTGTGCTATATTGATGTCAGAAGTAGGATGTGGTTGCAGAGTTTGACAAAATGGAGCAGCACAGCAAAGATCTCAAAGGTAGACAGCAAAGAAAACACAGCCTGGAGGGAGGGCCAATGGCTGAACACACAGCGCCAGAGACAGTTGGTGGATATCCGGGGGCAGGACGTGCTGTCAGGTTGAAGTTTTTTTTGTGTTTTAATAAAAGAAATTCATTGTATGTAGAGTTGTGCTCATAAGTTTACATACCCTGGCAGAATTTGTGATTTTTTTTCAGAGAATAATAATGATAATACAACAACCAAGCCATTTATTATCAAACAATTGTTTTTTGCCCTTTTTAAAATCATAATGACAACAGAAACTGCCCAAATGACCCTGATCAAAAGTTTACATACCCTAGTCCTTAATACCGTGTATTCCCTCCTTTAACATTAATGACAGCTTGAAGTCTTTTGTGGTAGTTGTGGATGAGGTACTTTATTTTCTCAGATGGTAAAGCTGCATGTTTGAGATCTCCCCAAAGTCAACTGTTCAAAGCTGTGTTTGCTGGTTATGTACTGCCTAGCATTTTTGAGTTCTGCTCAAAATGAGCTAAAATTATCACAGCTCAAACAGACAGTACTGAAACATTTGGGAAGGTTTTGATAATGTTATGATCGTTTTGTTAGTGACAAAATGGACTGTTTAATCATTCATTTTAATAAAATGAACAGAATTCGGGTACAGGGTCACTCAAAGCAAAAGGATTTTAGTCTAAAGTCCAAGGCTCAGTACCATTTCTTATTTTTACCCCGTCCCTTGTTTTTGAGTGTCACCTTGCCCCTTAGAACTGTGTTACAAGGGGTAGTGGTTGAAATCTTCCCCTATGAAATGTGAGCCTCAAATAAAAAAGAGCATTACTTCATTAACAGCTACTAGCACTGCTCTGTAGGTGACCCTGCCAGTCTGCAGTGACAGCAGAGCAGCAGTAAAGTTCAGCAACCTCACTGCTGGGCTTTAGTTACATTTAGGGAATCGTATGCCTTCAAAGAGAGGGGAAACAACAATTACACGTAAAACTGATGGCTAAGGGCTAAGTGATAGGGGCAAGGGGTGAAATGGGATTGGGCCCAAGTCAGGTCTGGAAAGTGTTTTTAGCTATTGAGTTTGAACCGATTCAGCAGAATGACCCATATCAGAGGAAGTTTCAGTTTTATGTAGCCTTTTTTATGAACTCATGTCCAACACAATCTGACTGTGCTCTCCACTGAGTGCTGCCAATAACAGCCTAATAACAGTCAAACTAGTTACATTTCAGTTTAAAACCGTTCCTTAAATTACTTTTTCACACTGGTAGTCCATCTCTTTCTCTGCATACTTTGTTAGCCCCCTTTTACCCTGTTCTTCAGTGGTCAGGACCCCCATGGACCCTCACAGAGCAGGTATTATTTGGGTGGTGGATCATTCTCAGCACTGCAGTAACACTGACGTGGTGGTGGTGTGTTAGTGTGTGTTGCGCTGGTCTGAGTGGATCAGACACAGCAGTACTGGAGTTTTTAAACACCTCAGTGTCACTGCTGGACTGAGAATAGTCCACCAACCAAAAATAGCCAGCCAACAGCATCCTGTGGGCAGCATCCTGTGACCACTGATGAAGGACTAGAGCTATCGTCTCTGACTTCACATCTACAAGGTGGACTGACAAGGCAGGAGTGTCTAATAGAGTGGACAGTGAGTGGACACAGTGTTTAAAAACTCCAGCAGCACTGCTGTGTCTGATCCACTCGTACCATTGCCACACACACTAACACACCACCACCACATCAGTGTTACTGTAGAGCTGAGAATGATCTCAGCTTGATATAGGCCCATTTTCTTTACTGAAGAACCTTTGAGGAAGCATCTTTTTTACGAGTGTACTGAAGGAAAGTACAGTCCAGCACAAGCACAAATCTTCCAAATGAAAAAAAGTGACAAAGTACAAGTGAGTAGCTCTCATGAAGGTCATTTTAAGGATCTCTTCCTTTCTACAAACTTCACAGTACAAGGCCTGAGCACATTTACCATCCTCTCCAAGAGGTGGTGCTAAGTTTCCTCATCAGCCTCACAAACAGCCACCATAAAAGCCCAGAGAAAGAGCAGCATGGTTCACAGGTTGGAGGACTGGTAGTTGGAATCAAACTTAGCCGGTCTGTAAGTGATGAATAACTACTGTAAAGCCACCTATAGAAGAGATAACACTGAATTAGCCTAATAGCTGATCTGTCTCCTGCTTTTTGGGTTGTTTTGTGAAAGTGTGGGAGAATGGCTGATAAGACAAGACAGTCATTTCCTCTTGAAGACTCCATCTGTGCACTTTGTGAGGATTATTTAACCGTCCCTGTGATTCTAAGATGCCGCCACAGATTGTGTAAAAGCTGCCTACACAGTTACTGGGAGTTAACAGGGTCCCTCAGATGCCCTGTTTGTTTGAGTGAACCATCATGTGAAGTGCTCTTACACAGCTTGGGTTCCACGCCTGTTTCAAAGGGTGCAAAGGCTGCCAGCTTTAACCTGCTTGTGGTGAAGAACACAGGAAGTGAACTGGTGAGTTTATAATGTTGATATGTGAACAGATTGTTTTTTAGTAATTGTCATTTTGTTATTTTAAGCTAATAAATGTGTCCAAGGTTTACTTAACTAGTCTTAAAGAGCTTTATTTCCTGTATGTTTGTCAGAGAAAATGCAATGCATGTGATCTTCTATACACTCATAAAAAAAATGGTTCTTCAAGGGTTCTTTAGTAATGGCAATGGTTGTATTTAGAATCATGAGTTCTATATAGAACCATTTGCATGCTTAAATGGATCTTTGCATGGTGAAATGGTTCTTCACATTGATAATAATGACGTTTATGGTTCTGTGTAGAATATAGAATAGAGAACCAAGAATATGGTTCTATGTGTAGAATACAGAACCAAAAAGGCTTCTGTTGTTGTCACAATGTCAAGCTTGTTATAATAGAAGAACCCTTTTTGGCGCTATATGAACGATTTTCAGATTGATGGAGAATGT